TAGTGTTAACCCGGAACAAGCCATTTTACCCATATTCCCCTACGGTCCAAGGCGCCATTTTAGAACATGGATGTAAACAAACCTCGTGTATCGATATACACTGTGATGCTTGATTACGATAAGCTTACCTCGTGTGTCGATACATTGTTCTCATTCACCTCCACCACGGAAATGCCGGCCGAAGTTCCTCTCAGCCATCCACAACGCGGAAGTCAACAGTATTTGGAAAGGCGATTGGCATTGCCAGGTACGTAGCAGGGCTTCGAGACCTTATGATTTCTGTGCAGAGATCTTATGGAACGGATTGATGTAGATATTTTCCTGCTCTACATACTTTACCGTAAACGCCAAGGGTCCTTTTTTTAGTATTATGGTCAACTGTTTGTTAGCATAAGGGGCGTAATGGATTTGTAGTCAAAACAAGATGATCCAAATTAGATCCGCTTTTTTATAGATAATGAAGAAAAGTACCAAGATCTAATGATCTAGGAACGATTATTAACTCTAAACTTTCGTGGGATGCTAATACAGATTATAATTTACAATAATGGCCACCAAAGACTTTATTTTTTTTACGCTTAGGATATTGTTATAATTACACTGTTATGTCCTTGTTTTGTATAAGCTTCATAACTTAATAATTCAATATTTCATGGAATGACTCTGACCTTGGCGAGGATCTTTTTTGCAACAAGTGATTCCCTATGTAAAGTGTATGTTGAACGACCCTAGCTTTGTTGTCAAATAATTGTTTGACAGTTGTTAAATATGGGGTTATGTTTTATCTCTGAATGTTTGGGATGAAATATTGTAATAAGGACAGTTCTAAGTTGGAAACTCAACTGGGGCCTTTTCAATTGAATTCAATGTACAGCATGTACAGTTTGGACATTTCTGTAATGTGAATGCTACTTATGTTTGCAGAATGTCTGGATGAATGAATGAGTCAATCATCTGCACAGCATCAATGGAAAAAGGGAAGCAATGAGGAACAAGAGAAGAGTAGCAGTGAGTGGTAAATATTTGAAATTATTCTGTTTGGTTCATCATGTAGCTATTCTGCAAATATTTCTTCAGTTTGCTTGTTCTTTATCACCTGTTGGCATGGATGGCCTAATTATCAAAGGCACCACAACTTGCTGTGCATAGTTGCATCTCTTGGGCTTGACAGAAGCCGATGGTCGTGGGTTTGAATCGAGGGTAGCATCATACACTTGCTTGTGGGTTTCATCAAAGTGGTAAACATGTAAGACCTGCATCACTTCGGGCTTTCTTCCTACATCAAGCTTACATGCCGTGATATAACTGGAATACTGTTCAAAGAGGCGTTAAACCCAATTCACTCATTTAACACCACATCCAGCAATAGTTCAGCTAAATGACAAGGATTATAAATTAATCAAATCTCAAATCTCAACTAGACAAACCAGAGATTAATGTTATGAGCTCGATCCAGACGCACCGATGATGACTGTTATGGACAACATCCCACGTTATTGGGTACGATTACGAGCTTTCAATGAGCCCACTTGCTACCTCATCTATTACTTTGGCTTGTATGGCAAGCATAGGTTGCTAGGAACATTTTTAAGAGATGTCAGTTAATGATTGTTTCAACTCATCAGCATGGAACAATATATATCTCAAATGTTTGGTATATAACAAAACTCAAAGATGATAAATTAAGTGAATTTGCTGCCTTTTATCTGTAAGTACATGTTGCAACAATTCTTTTCTTTTGCTACAATCTTTATACATAATTTTGCAGAAACTGAAGTCCAGCTTGAGATACCCGGATGACAGGTTGACAGTCTGGAAGGACCCTTCCAGATATCCGAAGTGATTGGCAGACAGCGATGAGGAGAGTCCTGTTATTTCAATGGGAGCCTACCGAGAAGTTATATGCCAATTGACACTGGGACACACTCACAAAGGGTGGTCAGGCTAATGTGAGAAGACCAACCAATACCAAGTCGGAGTGGGACCCTTCAAGGACGTTGAAGAAATTATTGTCTTTGGCCATGTGGTAATCACTTGAAAGGAATGATGTTTGCGACTACTTGTCTATAAATGTGGACCCAAACACCAAATAGAATGTTCACAATTCTACTAACACAATGCAACAGGGATAGAGCCCATCTGGCCTCCCCTCATCCTGGTTCCTGTTTTTCCATGGCAATATAGAAGGAAAATTATGTTTGAGGGCAAGTAACTCTGAACTGGTGAGCATGGTCTGCTGATGCTTTCAAGCGAACAGTTATCCCGCTCTGTTATGAGTATTGAAGAATAGGAGGAAAGTGCATACTGCATCAGGAACCATTATGTGAACACTGTTCAATGTGTGATATATGCATATAAATAAAAGAAATTGATAATTTGTTTGTTGTTTGTTTCTTTAGCCAGCTGTGTAAATGGGGATTTTCCAATATTTTGCCTCAGTTTGATAGCCACAGTTACATTGCTTGGACATCTTTGGAATAACACATTGATCTGCTATGTCAAAGGTCAATGTCACAGCCAGACAAAAAAATTGTTAATGGCCAAACTCTTCCTTAGGGCAGGGATAGAAGTTGGCAACAGGTCTTACACTTACTTTTTATCCCCCCGGCATATAATACGGGGGATATAGCGATCAGCCTGTCTGTCCGTGTGTCCGTCCGTAATTATTTCCTTTTCCGGGACAGGATTCCCAAACCATTCAGTGTATTTGATCGAAACTTGGCAACTCTTATCAGGCACATACTGAAGTGGTGCCTTTTGATATTTTGGGATTTTTCTAATTTTAATTTTTTTTAATTTTTATGGAATGAAGTTGGACATAGACTCAATTGAGGATGGGGTTCGTTTCCGGGGCAGAATTCGAAAACTATTCAGTGTATTTGATCGAAACTTGCCAAAGGTATTAGGCACATACTGAAGTGGTGCCTTTTGATATTTTGGGATTTTTCTAATTTTTATTTTTTATTTTTTTTTATGGAATGAAGTTGGACACGGACTCAATTGGGGATGAGGTTCATTTCTGGGGCAGAATTTGAAAAACATTCACTGTATTTGATCGAAACTTGGCATTCATATGGATGCGACCATGGTGGATCTTTTGTGGGTAAACAATGCATGCTTCTTAAAGAACATTCAACTGTTGACTCATTACATACAGAATTGCACATTTACTAGTGGTTACTTTACAGACAGCTGCGGGGGGGATGTGTCATCTTTCTGATGACTCTTGTTCTCTAATGTGCCTTTTCCTGCAGAAGTCTAAATAACTCTTATACATATAGTTGTATATCATTGTCATATGTTTGTCAATATTACACTGAATGAAGCACTTTACAATTGTTTTTGAAATAGTCGCAACTGATATTGAAGGTCAAATTAGCTTTCAATGTCTTTCAGTAAAAATGTTCACAGTAACTGAGGAACAGCTCTCTGTAGTGTGATGAAATCTGGTACATGTCACCCTCAGAGTGAGGCATATTGTGTTTCAAACTTAAATGAAGCTGGTATGCTCATAACAAGTACTTGTACCTTTACAAATAATCATATTATCATCTCACTAGGACCAAAGGCCCAAGTGAGCACACGGTCGATGAGTTTATACTTTCACTCAGAATAATCTGGAAGTCTGAACATGAAATTTAAGGATATCATCATACATGTATTAGAACTGATGTTTGTTCATTAAACAGCTTAACATCTAAAAATAATTATAGATGAAATTGAAAAAAATTGTCTTCTCCAAAAGTACATGCCCATAGATAGGGGATATTTACAACTAAAATGACACAGAATATTACTACAGCTATCTGATATGCCCAGGCTAACATTATTTACCAGAAATAAGACATCTCGAAAAATTGCATCCGGATACCTGCCGGATACCTTCAGCAATGTTCAATTTTCATGGTTAGTTTCGAATATACATTTAGGTGTTTCACACTTAACTGAACAAAATGCACCCCCAAATTGTGACATGTTTTTGGAAACTCAGAATGAGGTATCCGGTGCCGGATCCTTGGTATCCGGTGCCGGATCCTTGGACACCCAGATTGAGGTATCCGGTGAGGTATCCGGTGCCGGATACCCGGATTCCAGGTGGCATACTTTCAGGTGAGGTGTCCATGCCGGATACCACGGATCTGGTATCCGGCAAGGTATCTGCCACCGGATACCCGGACGCGTTTTGGGTAAGTGTCCGGTGGTATCCGGCAGGTATCCGGATACCGGAAACTGCATTTTTTTTGCTGTGTAGGATACAGTCCCTACCTACTTGTAGGATACAGTCCCCACCTACTTGTAGGATACAGTCCCCACTTAGATGTACGATGCATTCCCCATCTAGATGTAGGATACAGTCCCCACCTAGATGTAGGATACAGTACCCACCTAGGTGGAGGATACAGTCCCAACCTTGATGTAGGATACAGTCCCCACCTAGATGAAAGATACAGTCCCCATCTAGATGTAGGATTAAGTCCACATCTAGATGTAGGATACAGTCACCATCTAGATGTAGGATACAGTCCCCGCCTACTTGTAGGATACAGTCCCCACCTAGATGAAGGGTGCAGTCCACATCTAGATGAAGGATAAAGTCCCAATCTAGATGTAGGATGCATTCCCCACCTAGATGTAGGATGCAGTTCCCACCTACATGTTGGATACAGTCCCCACCTACATGTAGGATACAGTCCCCATCTACGTATTGGATACAGTCCCCACCTAGATGAAGGATACAGTCCCCACCTACATGTAGGATACAGTCCCACCTATTTGTAGGATACAGTCGCCACCCAAATGTAGGATACAGTCCCCACCTACATGTAGGATATAGTCCCATTTTTTTTGTAGCATCTCGTTCTGTCATAATGTTGCAGACGACGCATCCTCAAGCTTATTACTAATGCTGCATTCAACAAGTTATCCCTTTTTAATAGATCATGAAACGCAACAAGAAACATGACACAAGAGCTGGAGAAATGAGAGCATTGGCTGCGTATTTATTTTGCACATACGACACAGGTCAACTCCCCGTACTGTTTGTACGGAGGGCAAGGGAGAGAGTCACATCTACTCTCCACAATGTACAGCAGTTGCCCATACGTCTGTCGGTGGCCGCCCTCGGTGGTACAAGGGTCCTTGTCCACGCAGATGTACTCACTGGAGGCCCTGCTGTAGTCTGCCCCCATCAGGTAGCCCCAGTACGTCATCCTCCACCCGGGGTAGCACTCGTTCCTCGCCGGAATCATGACTTGAGCCTCAGATTTCATTTGACATACGACACAGGGGACGTTCTGGTGTTTAACTTTCTGGAAATCAGGAAATGTGTTGGCATCATTATATTCAGTGCCGTGGATGGTTGTCTGGCCTTGGTTTGAAAGAGAGTAGGCTACGTACTGAGGCTGTTTGGGCAAACATAGGATAGTTGCTGGGCCAGACTTTTTACTGTAGTAAGTTCCACCTGTATATCCTGCAAATGTATCAAAGATTGATTATTATATTTAAAAAATGTAACATGTGTACAATCTTACGCTTGCAGAGTCTTCGCATCACCGTGATCGTGTATGCTAAAAGGGGTTCTTACTGGATCATACATGCAAAGTTGCATCATATCTTTGTTTTCTTATAGGGAAATAGCAAATGGAAAACTTAACACAGGCTGATAGAAAATTAGCCATATCATAAACTCCCTTTATCGTTTTGAGTTACGTCTAATGTTTAAATTACCTCCACCATGATCGAACATGTCTTTGGTAATATCGTTCTTTCATTACTGTCAAGCAGGATGGCACATCCTGACCAATTTTCGGTGAAATAGTTTTTTCTAAACTGGTCAAATATTTTTTATATATATATATATATATATATATGTGTATACGAATAATTGAAAATTTAAATATTCGTACGTGGGAAGACATATGACAGATGTTGGCAACCATCTCTCATGGCGCAGACTTCTCACAAATATATTCAAACTGTGTCCGCGCCACATCAGTCACAAAATTGTTCGAGGCAGTTTTTGTGCCCTAGAAATTGTGTCGTCTCTGGACAGAGGAATGAGTGAATGAGTGAGTTGGGTTTAACGCCGCTTTTAACAGTATTCCAGTTATATCGCGGCGTGTCAGCTTAATGTGGGAGGAAAGCCCGAAATGATGCAGGTCTCAGACGTTAACCACTTCGGTGAAACCCACGAGCACGGTATGGTGCTGACAAACCTAGAAACATAATCGGGGTGAACCGGTATTTGAACCCAGAATTTTTGGCGTGCCCACGGGACGCAACTCTGCACGACGAATTAGACGACTGGGCCACCCGTACCCCGACAGAGGAATCAGCAATCCTTGTAAACAAATGTTTCATAATCATGTGTACATATGAAGACCCGGGGTATAGACTATGCTTGTCGTTAAGGGCGAATGACGGGATCGGGTGGTAGGCTCACTCACTTGGTTGATGCATGTCATCAATTCCAATTGCGTGGATCGATGCTCATGATATCAATCACTGGATTGTCTGGTCCACACTCGATTATTTACAGACCGTCGTCATATAGCTGGAATATTGCTGAGTGCGGTGTAAAACGACAAACCAACCAACCTACCAACATGTTGCTTAGCGTAAGGCATTTAGGGCAACATACATCAGTCAAACAAAACGACGGTTGTTGCTCTTGCCCTGCCCCGTTTGTCCCGCAATGACGACATATTACACCCCAAACCGTGGTTTCACGTCGGTTAGGGTATCATGTAGCGCAACCACTTCATGGCATGCAGGTGCTGCAGAAACAAAGTTGCAACATGTACGACAGAAGACACCACAACTCACAATAGCCATCGACACCAAACTTCTGCTATGTTTACATATTTGCTCGGCCCCATAATGCACTTGTGGGGCGATTGGATAGCCCCCAATAAAGCGCAAGGTAAGTCTTAAATTCGGTATTTTAAAAACGTAATAACGTTTGCTCTACCCACATGGGTACATAACTACAAGGTAACACGATTACAATGTGTCATTAGTACAAGGTAACATAACTACAAGGTAGCATGAGTACAAGGTAGCACGATCACAAGGTAACATAAGTACAAAGTAGAACGATTACAAGGTAACATAAGTACAAGGTAACACGGTTACAATGTGGCATAAGTACAAGTTAACACGATTACAAGGTAACATAAGAACAAGGTAACATAAGAACAAGGTAATATAAGTACAAGGTAATATTAGTACAAGGTAACACGACTACGAGGTAACATAATTGCAAGGTAACATAAGTGCAAGGTAAAACGAGTGAGTGAGTGAGTGAGTATCTTTTTATGCTGCCTTTAGCCATATTCCAGCACTATCACAGCAGGGGACACCAGATACTGACTTCACACAAACCAATGTCAGGAATCGAACCCGGGTCTTCGGCGTGATGAGCAAACGCTTCAAAGTGCAAGGTAACATAAATACAAGGTAACATAAGTACAAGGTCACATCAGTACAAGGTAACATAAGTACAAGGTAACATATGTGAAAGGTAACATAAGTACAAGATAACTTAAGTGCAAGGAAACATTAGTAGAGGTAACATTAGTACAAGATAGCATAAGTACAAGGAAACATTAGTAAAAGGTAACATATGTGAGAGGTAACATAAGTTCAAGGTACCATAAGCGTAAGATAACATAAGTACAAGGCCGACTTGGGATACGAGATAATGTGGGTTCAAGGTTACAACAGTTCAAAGTGACAAGGGTACATAGAAGCAGGGGTTGAAGGTAACATGCGTTAAGAGGTTAAGTGGTACAGGGAAAATAAAGTACAAGGCAGCATTGGTACACAGTAGCATGGGTACACGGTAACACGGCAATACTGGTATGAAAAACTGATGAAATCAACATAGAACAAATATAACAAATACTGCAATATTAGGAGAGAGTATTGTTGTTTAATAAACCCTTTCCCTTTTAAGAATATGTGAATGACTTAGGAACATTTTCCCCCAGGTACCCGCAAGTCACCATGTGTGCTGTCGCCTTCGCCATACTGCCAGCTGGCAGTCAGATTTTGGGCAAACGTTGGCTAAATATCGTTGGTACAACGTTGGTAAGGAAAAGGTCATTCAATATTGGATTAACGTATTTTATATTTCTCAATACCTCCCAGGCAACCTGAAATTGTTGTTCCTATCCAGGTTAAATATGACATAGCCAAAAATAAACTTTCTGCAAACTGAATTCTCTTTAAACTTTAACTATGAAACAGTAAGTCATTGAAATGCACCCTCTCTAGGCAGGATACCTCGGTATTCAATATTCTTAAATTAAATGTTTAGAGACATTCTAACACACACCTTTAATGCAAATTAAAAACAACAGATATTTAACTTGAGATGACTTATTGTAGGTCATAATCTCCTTAAAAGGTACAATAGATATAATTTACCTGTTTTGGAAAACACGTAAAACGCGTAAAACATGTTCATGCAACGTAAGAACTCACGTCTGTGCCCAGACACCGCTTTGTGTCAATTCCCTCCAAACCTCCTGTCAACACGCCCTACCCATCACACTTACCACCCCTTCTGTAAGCATGGACTACCTGTCACACTCACCACCACTTTTGTCACCACTCCCTTCGTGTCACTTATAACACCCTTTCTGGGAACACGTTTACCCCTTTCACTCCTAATTTAAACACGCACTACCTGTCACACTTACCACCCCTTACCCCTGTCACTCCTTCTGTCATAGCATTCTACCCACAACACCTACTACCCCATCCGTCAACGCGCTCTACCTATCACACTTACATGTAAGAGAGAGAGAGAGAGAGAGAGAGAGAGAGAGAGAGAGAGAGAGTATTGTGGAGAAAGTTTCATTATTAAGAGAGCACATATCAAATGTAATGAGCACGATTAGACTGTGTCAATATTTATTGTATGTGAATCAAATTACATATTTTGTTTCTTTAATTTTTGAGGAATTATCATAATCATGTGCAGAGGAATAAAATTCATGTCTTACATCCGTTCGGTCATGCTATAAATAGAATGTTCTATCGGAGTATTAATATATTTTCCATGTTTAAGAAGCTCTTGCGAGGTGACTGATTAACTAGTTAGAGTATTTCTGACGTATCTGTGAAAATATAATAATTACTGTGTGTCAATCAACAGAATACTTTTAACGTCTGTTTATGTACGATGAAGCCCTATGTGAAACTTAACAATCCACAAGGACAACATTAGAAATATTGACACCCGTCTTGACAGATCAGCATTGATCGTACTGAACATGTATCTCCATGGATTTATTATGTTCACAGCTAGGCAGTCTACACAAATTCAGATATACATATCTTTAGACAGCAGGGTCAGTGGTTTACCCTTGAACACATGGTATAAGTCACCAACACATCATACAAGGGATTTTTTTATCAGGTGTCATGGATTCTGTCCAGGACGTATCAGGTATGGCGGAATTAGGTTGTAATTATACTGTACAGAATAACAGTAGCCGAAGGATGGTGTGTTGGACAGTTCAACAAAATATGTTATGAGATGAAGACCGGTGTATGTTAACGTGAACAAAACAAACCTATTGCAAGGTCAAACTCGATGGTAATAAACCCAGATTTCTCGGGAAGAAAGACGGGTGTTCAGTCGACACAGGGCGTTTTAATTTGTGGGTCAAGCCCTCGGTTTTACAATCGGCATACTGCTTGTGCATATTTCTTCGGTCACGCTGTGCCATTGACGCGCGAGTACCCCTTGACCTGCTTTGGAAAGGAGCGCTGGCGGAACCCGCTTGTGTTGTGGACAGTATTTGAGAAAGCAAAGTTCAAAATTAAAGGTACACGTCACATCAAGCCAAACACGCCACATAATTATTTTGAATCACACATTTTATAAAACACAGGTTCGTGAGTGAGTGAATAGGCCACCTGAACACTTTAACCACTAGGCTACCCGACCGCACCATCACGACAAGAGAAATTAGAAATGGGCTTTACACATGTAATTTGGACCATCTACACAAATGTCTAATGCACCAACAACAATTCAGATTAAATGCAGGGTTTAGAAAAAAAAAACGGTTCTGTTTTTGTTCAGTAAACGGAATTTCAACAGCATTACTTATCCAGTACTGCATGGGGTGTATCACAACTCTGTCAAACTCTCGGTTATGAAAATGGTATGATAGAAGGGAGGTAACTCTGAAGCTACAACAGTACTGTACACAACGTACTCTTACCTGATCGTCGGTAGAGTGTCCGTCATGATAGTCTCACGTATATGACAATAAGCGCTGACCATCCAGGAACGAGTCCAACTGTTGGTTGCAGGATGTGGAGAACCCATCGTTTCCCCCCTTCCTTCCTCCTCCCCTCCCCTCCCTAATATAATTTCGTAAGTGCATGAAGCGCACATAAAATCCACCTGTTAAGAGTTCATGTTTCGATGTCTTCTCAAAATTTCATTGTGCTATAATGAACCTCAAGATTAATGAGATATATTTCAAGTACACCACACTGACAAAAAGTGTTGTGCACATTGATGCGAGTAAATCTAACCGGCATGACGACAGCGTATTAGAGTGGACAAAGGAAGGTTGAGTTCAATTCCCAACACACAGAGTTACTTCCCTTCAACTAAACCAGAAACAAACGCTTACCAAAATGCTGTTTAAAATAAAATCTTATATCTAAATAACACTGTCTTTAACGTGAACAAAAGCAAAACATTAATACATTGTCTGAGATGTTCGAGGGTTCTTGAACTTGAAATACAGACAGCTTCATTTCGGGGGTACCCTAAACGAAACACTTGTTTGAAACAGAGTGGTCTGTATTTGAGAAATGTCAGGTTCACAGATTTCTCAGGGGTTGTTTTTAAATTGTCTCCCTTGTGTACCGAAGAAAATCCGCCTCTGTATGCAGCCTAAAGAGCAAATAAATAAATCTTCTGTCTCGTTTTCCTTGTCAATAATCTTTACAAAGAGTGAAATTATTAATGCAGTGTCAACTACAGTGGCACATTTGCACGTTTGTTCGGAAATATATGTTAAGTGATGTTTCCAAGACACCTGATTGAGCTGAAGTGCATGCCTGTAAAAATGATTGGTCAATATCAGGGCCGTGCGAGAAATACGCATGAAGACGGAAAGCGCGCGTACAATCCCTCTCTCTCCCAGAGGGGAGGCGGTTCATGGAGAAAAAAGTTATAATTATCTTGGTCTTTCCTCCCGGTGGGTTGGATATAATGATGTCTGCCATTCTATAGGGTTGGATATAATTGAAAGCTACCCTGAAAGGACTTTGAATAACGACTTTCTAACTTGACATTCTGACAAGGGATCCCTTCAGAGAATTGCGAGGCGGGAGGTGGCAGAAAAGTAATGAACGGTTTCTGATCCTCTTTTCAGGAGGAAAGATGCACAGTTTATTGAGGAGATAGAAGAACCAGGAAAGGAGGCTGACCAGGAAGTTGATATTTACACCTCTAGTGTAGACTGGTCAGCCTTCAAAAGGTGAGATGCCACTTTCCATGGAGTAAGCAGCCTGCTGGAGTTTGAAACGGTTGACCTATTAGAGGTTTAGTTTTCAGTCAGTCAGGAGATGATCGCAGAGATGGACACACTTTAAGAGAGGAGTAGGTCGTACGTTAGTGGTACTGGTGTTCGTTTAACCATGACACATGCAAAGATCATCACACTTTTACGGACGATCTTCCTTTCTGTGGACCATGGCCCGATTCTTGTAATCCGATGATTACTGGGGCAAAATTCTGAGAACATTCTACAGACTTTTATTAATGTTTTAAATTATTTTTTTTTATGTTTGAAGAATAGTGAGTGAGTGAGTTTGGTTTAACACCGCTTTTAATAGTATTCCAGTCATATCACAGCATGTCAGCTTAATGTGGGAGGAAAGCCCGAAGTGATCAGGTCCCACGAGCATGGGTATGGTGCTGACAAACCTAGAAACATAATCGGGGCGAACCAGGATTCGAACCCACAATCATAGGTTTCTGGCGTGCCTAAGAGACGCAACTCTGCACAGCGAATCGCGGCGCCTTAGACGACTGGGCCACCCGTGCCCCCGTTTGAAGGATAGGTTTGTATAAGTGAATGGAAAATCCATTGTTTACAATGTCAAGGCCATGTCAAAAACATACTCGTCTTTTACAGCAAGCATGGGTTGCTAAAAGGGGTTAGATAGGGGAAGGTATTAACATATCGAGCACTTCATCTAAAGTATGAAAATATAATTTCTGACCAAATGGGAACACATACATTCTTTAACCAAACAAAAAATATATACACTTTAGAGTTTTCGCTTTGCTTCAAGTGGTTCGGTTCTAGCTCAGCAGATACAGCTAAACAGCGGATCCAGTATGTTATCATCTTAATGGGTATACATATGGAGGGTTTTACGCCACTTTGCTAACGGGATCGAGTAGTCGGGCTCGTTTGGTTGGTGCATGTCATCGTACCCCAAACTGCGTAGGTCGATGTTCATGATGTCAATCACAGGCTTGTCTGTCTTGATTATTAACTGACCATCGTTATGTTGCTTGAATAATGTGGCGTTAAACAACAGACAATCAAAGACTTTTGTTATTGCGGATAAAAACTCCTTTTCGGTTGACAAGCCTTCTAAACGATTCTGATGTTCTATTCTTCGTTATGGCACAATGTAACCTTGTTTTTTTCAAATGTCAAATGTATCTTAGGTACACTAATGTCTCAATAAAAACAACAATAATGGAATGCTAATCTGAAGCTTTATTTGGTACAGCGGTACATGCTGTCCGTTTGTATGTGATTCGCGGAAAAGAAACACATTAAAGTTCCTTTTCACAAATAAAATGCGATGGATGATCACATACAAAATCATTCCAGAGATAGTTTCCGAAGTCCCTTCTAATCTCCAGGCAGTGTTCGGTACCTCCATTATTATCAGGCTGTCCAGGAGACCAGTGTGTGTACCCCATACGACGTTGTCCTTCCCACAGCCACCTTCCCTCTATGTTCAGATCAGTAGCACCAAGCCGGTAGAAGGGAGCTGTGAAAAGAGACAGGCTGAGGCCATTCAGTATAAACAAGGATACCACAAAATATGTTTGGCGGAGTAGTTTCACATCAAATACCCTATAAACTGACAACATTGCAACGGTAAAAAGACATTGCCACCTCATTATGTATAACCTATTGTTAGTTTTCTACAACCATTCTTTCTAACATAGTGACTTTTGAAGTGCTTTTGTACAACATATGTGTATGTCAAGATAAATATTAGTTATTTTCCAAAGACTTTACTAAAAGCAGATGATTTGAGTTCAAGAAAACAAAGGAATTTTGATAAATAGTGCCACGACTCTGAAACTCACTTGGATATGTAGTAAACAGCATGTAGTGTGAGCAAAGACATCCACATAACTGAGTTGATGTAAGAATTTATATTTAATTGTTTTCTAAATAAATAATACACTCTTATGAATTGAACAAGATATGATATCATCATAAGGAGATACTAACGTCATCTCCCTCAATCTGGCAATATCAGAGGAGACGTTTAAATAGCCATTGGGATAATTTGAAAGCATGGTTAAAAGTAAAAATTTAAAGTATTGTAGGAAACGGAAGATTAGTGTTGAATTCCAGAAGAAAGTAAAAACATGCTTAATTTCGTTTCGTTTTGTACAACCATGACAGAGTACGGAAATGAAATAGATTTTCTCAAATCAGAATCGAATGTCTTGAATCAATTCAGGTTACTCAGCTTCGTTGGTCCATTGGTTTCCGAGCAGATAATGCATTTGAGGTGCACTGAGAGCATTGTCTGAATGCAAATAATGAAGCTCAAAGTTTAAAATATCACACAAAAAGAACAAATATATGTTCACCTACTAACTACACACGTACCAAATTTAAATTAGAAAATGGATAAGAAACGGACATAAGAGTTTCATATTTCTGTATGGACCAAGTGCAAAGTGAAACCTATATGCTGAGTCTCCCTGCTAAAGACACAAATACCAACTTCCATTACACTTTGAACATGGTCTAGCAATGGCAATAAATAAGTTTTTTAATGTGTTGCCGTGGTTACTCTGAAGAAGAATAATACCACGCACGACACACGGCGGACAAACATGCACATAGGCACACTTGACTTTCAGTCAGGTGCTTAAAAAAGTCATCTTGAATTCTGTATGGCTGCAATTGTGCCGACGAGATGTAAAGTGACAACTTTAATTACGAAAATTATTGATAATTCGAGAGGGCAAACCTGTTCCCATTACACCATATTTCAGAATAATCTGCACATCTGTTACATTATAATAAGATTTTAATTGTCAACGTTATGCAACAGGTAGTACCATCCAGTCAATTAACTGTTATCTGTAAGATCACCTGGCACTGCTAGTGGAAATGAATTACCAAACCTGGAAAACTCTAAGCATCTGAAACGTGTCCCGTGTAAACGCAACTAATTGAAGGGTGACCCATATTGTTCAATATTTTTGAAGCCATCCTGCTTTATAACAAGAAAAACCCAAAGCCCAGCCGTGTTAAACCACATGATGATGAAGACTTTAAAATGATTAATACACAGACTTGCGAACAAAGATGAATAATTTATAGGAGCAGGTTAACACTGACCGAAATATAAAACTTGTGTTCATGGTCACAAAAATATAACAAACGAACACAACCAAATGCCATTATCTGTACTTGGAGCTCTATGTTAGGACAGACAAATCAACCTTATTAACACTTGCAAATGACAATAGGCACCGATGTCTCAGTACTGACATTGCAAATCCTCACTTGAGCTGTTAACGACACTCAGAGTACGACACGCAGCAGTACCGAAGAATGCTCTTGCGTATACTCAAGTCCAGACACTGAGGAGTGATAGGTGCCGTGTCCTTTGTAACAGGTTTCTCACGTCACGTCATTTAAAAGATGAATACTTTCAAGACACCGACGTTCGCAATGGTATCACCACCATGAAAAAGCATGTTGCATCATGCTGCCGTTTGCTCTCGACATCCACACAGTCGTCAACCACTGACACGACGTCAAATGCAATATCGGTGCATTTCTATGGTGCCGACGTCTTGGCGTTTGTTGCAGACATTGCCATAAAAGGTGATGATTCCACAGTGATCTACTACTGCCAGAACACAGTGCAAGTTCTTGGGAAACCCTTTCAGTGTCTTTCAAGGTGGTAATGCTCCTCCACATCTCTGTTGGCATTTCTAATTTAACGTATCCGGGACGATCTTGGGTGCCACGTTTATCAGAAGCCATACTGAGTGAGTGAGTGAGTGAGTTGGATTTAACGCCACTTTTAACAGTGTTCCAGTTATATCGTGGTGTGTCAGCTTAATGTGGGAGGAAAGCCCGAAGTGATGCAGGTCTCAGACGTTTAACACTTCGGTGAAACCCACGAGCACGGGAATGGTGCTGACAAACCTAGAAACATAATCGGGGCAAACCGGGATTCGAACCAACAATCATAGGTTTCTGGCGTGCCAAAAGGGACCCAACTCTGCACAGTGAATCGCGGCGCCTTAGACGACTGAGGCACCCGTCCCCTAGAAACCATACTGTGCCGTATCATACAGTTTTCAGGAGTTGGACGCCATATTTCAGGGCTGTCATTTTGAACATGGTGAGGAGTATGTGGTAAAGGTTAGATGAGGAACAGGACTTTCAACAAGCACCCTAAATGATAGTAAGCAAACAAAGCCAAACAGCCATGGCCAAAAGGCGGATTTATTATAATAGACAGTATTCAAGTTTTCATTGTCACATGCACCACAATACACAAACACCCGTAGTTTAAGTAAATGCAATGAAATCAAAAGTAAAATTCAAGTCTAACCTTTACCACGACGGATAGCGTAACCTCTGATAAACGAATCTTCATCTGCGCTTGATATAACCACAAGGTGGCTCTCCAAGTAACGACAGTAGGCCTGAAAACAAAATTCACCATTTAATTAGTAAGAAAAGGTGTTCGCATACATGCAAAACGGGAGCATTTCATTCCCCACTGGTATTATTCATGATAAACAAATTCGCCTTTTCTGTAATCGTCTCTGACACCTTTGATGGTTTGTAATGCACTACATCACTACAGTAGAAAGTCTGATGCTTATTACTACCTTAAGTAAACATTATTTGCACCTTAGGTTCCATAAAGTTTGTGAAAGTAAGCCTGGTGTGGAACAGCCTTAAGACATAAATCACATGCCATTATAGTTATATAACCATAAAAAGCTCGACCTTCAACTTCAGCCATAAGCTGCCAAATTAAATCAAATTGGAAACATAAGTGAGGCCATTGCACCATTCTGGAAGTACAGTCTGAGTCATACTGATAACATGTTCATTGACACACACATTTGACAGGATCTTGGTAAGTGTGTAGGAAGCGTTCAAAGTATGTTATGAGTCATTGAAAAATGTTTTCTTATGACCTGAAACAGTTAAATGGGATCTGTAGAATCGGTTTGGAGCTTGATCTTGGCTAGAGGCTGGTCACATTCTCATCCACTCTGTAATGATCCATGTCAAGATCCATTACTTGAGGTGATTTCAAGTTCAGTGGGGTACACTTTCTCTTTGCCCACATGACATGTTTTCTTCAAGCATATATTTAGAGGTGATCAGAATTCACAGATTACCAAAACGACTTACAGCTGCCTCTGGAAATGAACTTTTCACGTTTGAGAACCAGTAGCAGGACCGTCTGTGAAGATGAAAGCCCAACGGACAGCCTGCTAACAGATAATATAGCAAATCACATATCCAATGCAGAACATTGTTTGAAAAGAAACTCATATGCTTTTAACTAACTTAATAACAAAGTGATACATGATTCAACATGTACGGCTCAACAATACCCCCTTTGGTTTTGAAAACATGTGTCCAATGCGGTGCAGCGTTAAAACTGAACTACAATAAAAAAACAAACGTTCTGAGCACTTCAACTTTAATGACATTTCTAAGATATTTTGCGAAATGATCAAAGGTGCCGACACTACTTTATCCTGCGGTAAAGTACATATTGTAAGTGATGTCATAATGGACCGACGTCATGACCCTGTTGCTCTTCCTCCGCCATGTTCGTCCTACGTTGACGCCATTTCAAACTCAGTAAGCATACCTTTCTCTGACGTTTCTCTTTGGCTGTTTTTAAGTCACAGCCGATTTTCGAATGTGATATAAAACGTCAACGCCAGAGGCAAACTAATGTTGAAAATTATAACCAAAGATCTCTGAAAATAAATGATGACACCAGGTGTTCACTAAAAGGATAATCTCTACTAGTAGCACCCGCCACAGTTTGCTTGAAAGGTGTATTCAACCTTTTCAAATTGCATCTATTCTAGACGTCAGATATGTCAGAGACGTCATTCTTAAGCATGGTCTGCGTTAAGTAGACTGGCAGTGTAGCGTATGGCTAATACACTGAACGTGGTTGGCGTGCATGTCATGAATATCGAGTAATCTACCATGAAATTGGAATTTACTTGATTATGATTGATCAATCAGAGGCTATTAAATCACAATAACACCCTCCCTCCCTTGCAGATAGGAGCTCGAGTCGCATGGTTGTTGAGTTCAGCTCTACACATACAGCGCTCTGTGTGTACGGGGGTTCGACAACTCAGCTTATATTTCTTACGACAGAAGTTGGAAGATCCGGGATACATGTATCTGTTACACATACGTTCCCGGACCTGACATGATGGTTGAAATATCCACTGGAGCAAGGTGTAATCAATCATATAAACAGTAATCAAGCCAGACCAACAAATCGTGATCAAGATCAAGATACGGTAGCACATGGTGTGGGTATATGACGCTGTGAGCAAAGTTCCGAGTGGGTAGATTCAACAGCACCATCACACTGTTCGTGTTGGCAAAATAAGTCTGTAGGCCTGAGTAAAATCGATATATCCTCCCCAAAACAAGCTGTCACGCCGTGATACAGCTGGATAAAACCATCATAAACTCAACTCACCCACTGATGATAATACACGGGTTATTGTGATATGAATCTGGTCTCAAAACACAGCATGCACCCCCCCCCCCCCCCCCCCCCCCCCCCACCATGATTCTTGCCATCGATTAAACAATGCACGCTTCACACATTGGTTATATTCCTGCAGCATATGGCGTTATCTCCGTCATCGCTGTACTGGTGTCGCATCCACAATAAGTCCTGGTGTGTGTTACCTGTGCATGTTGAACTGATTTTTTAAAGTACACCAGGTATTATCATAAACACGTTATTTTACCCTCTTCTAGACGTATGTGCATTACCTCGATTATTACTTTCGTTTTGGTTTACTATTACCTCTGGTCTGAGTGAAGAACTATGTTTAACGTTGTTCAACTATATTCAACAGTACCACGGTGGCGACCGTACTCATTTGATATATTTCATCGCGATCATTTTGCTGGTGCGCTACCCTCCGCACAACAAGTACATTATTCTCAATGGTCAGTCAAAGATATCAGACCAAAGTGAGTGGGTAAATGTCATATAACGCCTCAGTCAGTAATGTGCAAATAACGGCAGTCTATAAATGCTTGGACCGGGCATGCGCAACGAACCAAAGCAGAACGTCTCCAGACCTGACAAACCCACCCTATGGCAAATAGGACGAGACTAAGTTTGGGAAACTAAGCCATATTCAACTGTCCTCCTCCATGCAGAATCCACACCCGCATGTGGGGTACACTCCCACCTATATGTTGGATAAGTCCCTACCTACATGTAGGATAAGTCCCCATCTACTTGTAGGATACAGTCCCCACCTATATGTAGGATACATTCCCCATCTACTTGTAGGATACAGTCCCCACCTATATGTAGGATACATTCCCCACCTATATGTAGGATACATTCCCCACCTTTATGTAGGATACATTCCCCACCTACATGAAGGATACATTCCCCACCTATATGTAGGATACACTCCCCACCTATATGTAGGATACATTCCCCATCTACTTGTAGGATACAGTCCCCACCTATATGTAGGATACATTCCCCACCTATATGTAGGATAAGTCCCCATCTACTTGTAGGGTACACTCCCCACCTATATGTAGGATACATTCCCCACCTACATGAAGGATACATTCCCCACCTATATGTAGGATACACTCCCCACCTATATGTAGGATACATTCCCCATCTACTTGTAGGATACAGTCCCCACCTATATGTAGGATACATTCCCCACCTATATGTAGCATAAGTCCCCATCTACTTGTAGGATACAGTCCCCACCTATATGTAGGATACATTCCCCACCTATATGTAGGATACATTCCCCATCTACTTGTAGGGTACACTCCCCACCTATATGTAGGATACATTCCCCACCTACATGAAGGATACATTCCCCACCTATATGTAGGATACACTCCCCACCTATATGTAGGATACATTCCCCATCAACTTGTAGGATACAGTCCCCACCTATATGTAGGATACATTCCCCACCTATATGTAGGATAAGTCCCCATCTACTTGTAGGATACAGTCCCCACCTATATGTAGGATACATTCCCCACCTATATGTAGGATACATTCCCCATCTACTTGTAGGGTACACTCCCCACCTATATGTAGGATACATTCCCCACCTACATGAAGGATACATTCCCCACCTATATGTAGGATACACTCCCCACCTATATGTAGGATACATTCCCCATCTACTTGTAGGATACAGTCCCCACCTATATGTAGGATACATTCCCCACCTATATGTAGGATACATTCCCCATCAACTTGTAGGATACAGTCCCCACCTATATGTAGGATACAGTCCCCACCTATATGTAGGATACAGTCCCCACCTACATGTAGGATAAGTCCCCATCTACTTGTAGGATACAGTCCCCACCTATATGTAGGATACATTCCCCACCTATATGTAGGATACATTCCCCATCTACTTGTAGGATACAGTCCCCACCTATATGTAGGATACATTCCCCACCTATATGTAGGATAAGTCCCCATCTACTTGTAGGATAAGTTCAACCTACATGTAGGATAAGTTCAACCTACATGTAGGATAAGTCCCCAACTACATGTAGGATAGTCCCCACCTACATGTAGCATAAGTCCAACCTACATGTAGGATAAGTCCCCATCTACTTGAAGGATAAGTCCAACCTACATGTAGGATAAGTTCAACCTTCATGTAGGATAAGTCCCCATCTACATGTAGGATAAGTCCCCATCTACATGTAGGATAAGTCCCCATCTTCATGTAGGATAAGTCCCCATCTACATGTAGGATAAGTTCAACCTACTTGTAGGATAAGTCCCCATCTACTTGTAGGATAAGTCCCCATCTACTTGTAGGATAAGTTCAACCTACATTTAGGATAAGTTCAACCTACATGTAGGATAAGTCCCCAACTACATGTAGGATAAGTCCCCATCTACATGTAGCATAAGTCCAACCTACATGTAGGATAAGTCCCCATCTACAAGTAGGATAAGTCCCCATCTACGTGTAGGATAAGTCCCCATCTACTTGAAGGATAAGTCCCCACCTACATGTAGGATAAGTTCAACCTGCATGTAGGATAAGTCCAACCTACATGTAGGATAAGTCCCCATCTACATGTAGGATAAGTCCTCAACTACATGTAGGATAAGTTCAACCTACATGTAGGATAAGTCCCCATCTACTTGTAGGATAAGTCCCCACCTACATGTAGGATAAGTTCAACCTACATGTAGGATAAGTCCAACCTACATGTAGGATAAGTCCCCATCTACATGTAGGATAAGTCCTCAACTACATGTAGGATAAGTCCAACCTACATGTAGGATAAGTTCAACCTACTTGTAGGATAAGTTCAACCTTCATGTAGGATAAGTTCAACCTACGTGTAGGATAAGTTCAACCTACATTTAGGATAAGTCCAACCTACATGTAGGATAAGTCACCATCTACATGTAAGATAAGTTCAACCTACATGTAGGATAAGTCCAACCTACATGTAGGATACATAGAGATTACTACGCGAGTGTCTATCAGATACCATTGATCTTACAACGAGATGTTTCAAAACCTATAAACGAGCGAGAGCGAGTTAGATACGCTTTGTAACAACGAGTTGTAAGATCAATGGTATCTGACAGGCACGAGTGCAGTATTCTGTACACCCTAAAATCGCACCTTTTTGGCATCGGATCGATGCGTTTTGTATATCCTCATGATCGCAGTGGCGCATTAATACATAACACCAGTGTTATAAGTGACGTTGTTCATGTAGTGCCTACTACTCATAAATAATGTGACCTTACACAAAAAGGTTTCCGCCATGTCAGTGGATTATCAAGGCGACGATGATAATGCAAACAAGACAAAGACAAAGAACACGCTGGATGCCGAATTAAAAGTTTACAACTCAAAGAAATCACCTAATATGTACAACAATGTTTACTTCCGTATGACACTTACCGGTGGCCGACTTTTGCAAAATGGCGTGTACACTGACAACAGTGGAGGATTTTCGTTGTGTAAATGTGTCACGTAAGTAATCAGAAATATTCTGACAATCTGCGTACTGTTATTTGTTTACCATTTCATCCAATGTAACAAAGAGAATTAGTCAGAAATGCAGATAACTACCGTCGTCGTTGTGCGTGATTTAGCGTCAGTCAGGGCGTCACACTTGTACGGTTTCTATTGAATTTACCACATGATTGTAATGCTTATATTTGGAATTCCATTATTAGTGCAACGATACTCTTCCCAAGAATACTCTCAAACGCGTGATTGAGCCAATGCATGCAACAATTAGACGAAAGTACCTCAAAACATGCAACACCTTGTAAAATCTGAATATTTTGCTTTGTTTACGTTTCAGCCAGTTTAGTTTTCCGAGCACAGTATTAGTTTCCACACCTAATTTATTTCGCATGATTTCATCTAGATAATTTGTATTGGTGACAAATTTGTCATTTGTTTCAGGAATTCAGGGATGGATGTATAGCATCTGAGTTTGAAATATTCCTGATCGAATAGGCGTCTCATAACCGGTTATTTTGTAAACACAATCCAATATGGTGGAACGTACACTTCGGCGTTCGTGAATGCGTATTTTCCAAAACATTCTAAACGATTCTAGGCTTATCAGCAACGTTTCAGAATTATTAGTGAGTTCATACCCGTGATCACTAATATGCTATTTTTCTACTTTAATTATTCGAGTAAATATCGAATGCGTGATGTAATTTGAATTTTATTTGACTACGAAGTGAGGGTTGAAGAGGAGGGACATATGTGTCGCTGTGGCATCCAGGGGGTTTACACTCTAAAAAATGATAACGTTGACATAACAGCAGATAATGTAACTGATAATAATAACAAACTCGCAGATTATTATTATTATTATCACTTATTACACGATCATGTGGTTCAACAAGGCGTCGGTGAACATTCGACTGAAGCAGCAGCAACTTATCAGTGACTTAGAATCAGAAAAGTAGTCCGTCATCATCTGACCTCAGGTCATCACCATGGAGTAGCCAATCACGGGCATGGAATTCGATCTCACACATATGTTTGATACCAGTTATCTCAAATGGGTGTCTCACCGACAGGTGTGTAAGAAAGTACCCGCCTAGTTGTAGGATACAGTCCCTACCTACTTTTCGGATACAGTCCCCACCTACAGCAGGATACAGTTCCCACCTACAGCAGGATACAGTCCCCACCTACCTGTAAGATACAGTCACCACCTAGATGTAGGATACAGTCCCTACCCACTTTAAGGATACAGTCCCCACCTACAGCAGGATACAGTCCCCTTCTAGATGTAGGATACAGTCACCATCTAGATGTAGGATACAGTCCCAACCTACATGTAGGATACAGTCCCCACCCACTTTTAGGATACAGTCCCCACCTACAGCAGGATACAGTTCCCACTTACACCAGGATACAGTCCCCTCCTACAGCAGGATACAGTCCCCTTCTGGTTGTAGGATACAGTCACCATCAAGATGTAGGATACAGTCACCATCTACATGCAGGATACAGTCACAACCTACATGTAGGATACAGTCCCCACCTACATGTAGGATACAGTCCCAACCTACTTGTAGGATACAGTCCCCACCTACATGTAGGATAAGTCCAACCTACATGTAGGATAGAGTTCCCTTCTACGTGTCGGATACAGTCCCCACCTAGATGTAGGATTCAGTCACAATCTAGATGTAGGATACAGTCCCACCTACTTGTAGGATACAGTCCCCACCTAGATGTAGGATACAGTCACAATCTAGATGTACGATAGAGTCCCCACCTAGATGTAGGATACAGTCACCAACTATATGTAGGATACAGTCCCCATCTAGATGAAGGATACAGTCCCCGCTTACTTGTAGGATACAGTCCCCACCTAGATGTAGGATACAGTCACAATCTAGATGTAGGATACAGTCCCCACCTAGATATAGGATATAGTCACCATCTAGATGTAGGATACAGTCCCAATCTAGATGTAGGATACAGTCCCCACCTACATGTAGGATACAGTCCCCACATACATGTAGGATACAGTCCCAACTACTTGTAGTATACAGTCCCCACCTACATGTAGGACACAGTCACAATCTAGATGTAGGATACAGTCCCCACCTAGATGTAGGATACAGTCACCAACTATATGTAGGATACAGTCCCCACCTAGATGCAGGATACAGTCCCCGCTTACTTGTAGGATACAGTCCCCACCTAGATGTAGGATACAGTCACAATCTAGATGTAGGATACAGTTCCCACCTAGATGTAGGATACAGTCAGCATCTAGATGTAGGATACAGTCCCAACGTAGATGTAGGATACAGTCCCTACCTACTTCTAGGATACAGACCCCACCTAAATGTTGGAGACAGTCCCAACCTAGATGTAGGATACAGTCCCCATCTACATGTAGGATACAATCCCCACCTTCTTTTAGGATACAGTCCCCACCTAGATGTAGGATACAGTCCCCGCCTACTTGTAGGATACAGTCCCCACCTTCTTTTAGGATACAGTCCCCACCTACAGCAGGATACAATCCCCATGTAGATGTAGGATACAGTCACCATCTAGATGTTGGATACAATCCCAATCTAGATTAAGGATGCAGTCCCCACCTACTTATAGGATACAGTCCCCACCTACTTGTAGGATACAGTCCCCACCTAGATGTAGGCTACAGTCCCCACCTACATGTAGGATACAGTCCCCACCTACTTGTAGGATACAGTCCCCATCTACATGTAGGATACAGTCCCCAACTACATGTAGGATACGGTCCCCACCTACATTTAGGATACAGTCCCCACCTAGTTGTAGGATACAGTCCAAATCTAGATGTAGGATACATTCCCCACCTAGGTGTAGGATACAGTCCGCACCTAAATGTAGGATATAGTCCCCACCTACATGTAGGATACAGTCCCAACCTACATGTAGAATACAGTCCCCACCTTCATGTAGGATACAGTCCCAACCTACATGTAGGATTCAGTCCCCATCTAGATGTAGGATACAGTCCCCACCTAGATGTAGGATACAGTCCCCATCTAGATGTAGGATACAGCCCAAACCTAGATGTAGGATACAGTCCCATCTAGATGTAGGATATAGTCCAAACATAGATGTAGGATACAGTCCCCATCTAGATGTAGGATACAAGTCCCACCAGAATGTAGGATACAATCCCGATCTAGATGTAGTATACAGTCCCCACCTTCTTGCATCCTACGACGCATCCCCAATCTTATTACTAATACTCGTTCAAACAAGTTATCCTTTTCTAATAGATCACGAAACGCAACAAGAGACATGACACAAGGGCTGGAGACATGAGAGCATGGTCTGCGTATTTATTTTGCACATACGACACAGGTCAACTCCCCGTAGTGCTTGTACGGAGGGCAAGGGAGAGAGTCACATCTACTCTCCACAATGTACAGCAGTTGCCCATACGTCTGTCGGTGGCCGCCCTCGGTGGTACCAGGGTCCTTGTCCACGCAGATGTACTCACTGGAGGCCCTGTCGTAAGCACCCCCCATCAGGTAGCCCCAGTACGTCATCTTCCACCCGGGGTAGCACTCGTTCCTCGCCGGAATCATCAGGACTTGAGCCTCAGACTTCATTTGACACACGGCACAGGGGACGTTCTGGTGTTGAACTTTCTTGAAATCAGGAAATGTGTTGGCATCATTATATTCGGCGCCGTGGATGGTTGCCTGGTTTTGGTTTGAAAGAGAGTAGGCTACGTACTGAGGCTGTTTGGGCAAACATAGGATAGTTGCTGCACCAGACTTTGCACTGTAGTAATTTCCACCTGTATATCCTGCAAATGTATCAACGATTGATCGCCAATGGAAAACTTAACACAGGCTGATAGAAAATTAGCCATATCATAAACTCCCTTTATCGTTTGGCTCAGCTGAGTCTTATTGATTAAACAGTTGACTATTTGCAGGAGTAAGTAAGGTTTTACACCATTTGTGCAATTTTCAAGCAATATGAATGATCAAAGTAGCACACATGTGCAAGTTTTAACGATGGAATACTGAAAGGGACATTTTCGTGATCACGACGTTTGTAAATGAGCATAATAGGCCAAAAGTGCGAGAATGTGTGATCGCGAGAATTGGCCAAAATCTCGCGTTCTTGTGATCTCGCATTCTTGACCTTTTTTAAACATAGCCGTTTTTATGTAAAGACCACACCACGACATTTAAACATGACGTAAAATCTCGCAATCAAGCATTCTAGACTTGTAAAATGAGGCCACAAAAACACGAAATCGCTTTCTCGCATTTTCGCGTTTTACACGTTTTCCGTGCGCATGCGTTACATCATAAGGTCAAGGCTCAACCGCACGTTATTGGCCCTGTGGCCATGCTTCTTTTGTGCTCTTCATTTCCAAGTAGCATTTAGCAAAACTATGACTCAGCTTGAAAATACTATTTATAATTTACACAATAAAATGCTGTGTAATAAAAACAAGTCCTATACCGTTAAGATAGTTTCGTGTGTACTTTAAATTAGAACCCCCAACATACTCAATGAAAGCTGACAAAGAAATTGTGTACACTAATGTTCAATGACAGTGAAAACATTCACAGAACAATTTTGACTGTTCGGCTTAAACGAGCTCGTCAGATGTTTTACACGACAACGTATTTGCTTCTTTAGGCCAAAAACAATAATTCATGGAATGTCATCCCCGCCCGCCTGACTACAAAACTCCTTTCTTTACATGACATAGAATTCTCAAACACGCATTATCCATGTAATGCCCAGTAATTGTTCACGGATGCCTTAAATAGTTCGATTAGAAAAAATAAAAAACATCCCGCCTCCATTTAAAAATAACATCAATCAAACTCTAACTATTACTTTATTGTGGCCTTAATACCCACGTGTTAGGCATGCTTATATTGGAAAGGTTCACCAATTTAGGGCCTCCATAGCGCTGAATAAGTGAATGAGTTTGGCTTAAAAACGCTTTGAACAGTATTTATGTTTCAGTTATATCACGGCTTGTCAGCTTGACATTGGATGAAACCAACCATCATAGGTTTCTGACACGTCCAAGGGACACAACTCTACACAGCCAATTGCGACGCCTCTGACGACTGAGCCACCCGTGCTACCGGTTCTAGATGACTCCACAGGCAATTGGCACAGAAGCGCTTGACAACGCAAGGTCGTCAGATCGCGGCATTGAAATATCGCGATCTCGTGATCTCACGTTCTCGTTTTCTCGTGTTCTCGTGGTTTTAAAAATATTAACATATAACTGTATAAACAATTGGCAGAAAAGCACGCTATCACGAGAATGTCCATTACATTATACCATAGATAACAAAGACATAATCATGACCCCATGGTGCAGCCATTTTGCTCCAGGTTAAAGATGATATATTGTGACATTCAAATGAACATTCCCAACAATACTAAACTAACGAGCAAAACCAACTCTACCAAATTCAAATTATTAGAATTTGGATTCGAAAATATATTTCCAAAACATGCAAAAACAGTCGCAAAAATGCTATACACTAGAGTACAATTTGAAATCGTGCTTTTTGGTTATTTAATATCCGTGTAATACTTAATGCACAGCAAAATGCACGTGCTGCATGATCATAGAACACATGTGGGTATGAACCACAATATTGCACAGTAAGTGGTCCAGCAATGGACACGCCAGGTTTATCGGCAGAGCAGAGAGAAAGGGCCATTGAATTACTTCAGTTTTGAGCCAGATAGGACACCGCTGCTGGACACCCTGGGGCACTTGTGCAACAATCACCAGGGTGCTGTCACGACACCCGCAGGCAGGGCACAGAGCCATGCAGACTATGGATCATCACATTTAACGTATATTCTGTTTTGCGTATTATTTGTGCGAGGAAGCACTTCAGCATCAACTGTCCTTTGACATGTTGTCAAAAGCTTCACTGCACTGAGACACACCGGGAAAACACATGTCAACATCGACGTGCAAGGTGCGAACTGTACAACGTTAGCAGAACAGGGACGAGCACGGAGACGGATGTATAATGATTTGGATCGGAATTTGTAAAAAGTAACGGACGGATAACGGTAATCTCACTGAACAATGTAGCATATATATAAATACTGAATGACGTAACGCGACGTCTAACGAACTGTGCAAGACGTCGTGTGTGGCTGTGCCGTAGGGTCAGTGGGGAACATTGCATGACTGTGATCATTTCAATGACATCTATGCAGAGTAAGTTTAGTCTCAATCATATTGTGTTTACTTCAAACTGACAATACGCCCTAATGTCCTTGTTGCCTTCGTAGGTTTCTACCGCCTCCGTCGTCTTGTGGTAGGGCGTCTGTCCGGAGAACGAAAGGTAGGGGATTCGATCCCGGGCAGCGTCATACCAAAAGACGTTAAAATATGGTACACGTTGTCACAATGCCTGGCGCTCTGCATTCAGGGGTTAAAACAAGGACTGGTCGGCTTCAAGCTAGTCGGCTTCGAGCCAGTATACTGTTCAATGCGTCATGGTGTCACACACGCAGCCACACACACACACGTGCATGCACGTCGCTTTATCAGTGCAATAACCTTGAACGCAACGTTAAACCCTATTTCACCTCACATAACCTCTAGGTCCTGTATTTTCGGAGCCATGGCATTATTTCTCTGAATCCGTGCTGTCCATTTGCTTATTGAGAAATTGCAAACGCTACATTTGTAATATCCTTTTGTCGTTTTGGTCAGAGCCGGTATTTAGCTTTGTGTAGTTTCTGTTGCTCGTCAGCTCAATTACAGCCTGAGTAGATGAGCGACGTCGTGTTTGGACACGTCGCCCGTCCCCAGTGAACAAATGTCGCTCCTGAGGCAGCTGAAAAAAGGTGTTAACATCAAACTTTAGTTGCAGTCGTTTCGTTATTTGATCAAGTTAAAACACAGCCTACCTAAAGGCATACCTTCAACATATTATTAAAACACAGCCGACCTAAAGGCATACCTACAACGATATTAAAACACAGCCGACCTAAAGGCATACCTACAACGATATTAAAACACAGCCGACCTAAAGGCATAGCAACAACGATGTTGAAGCACAACCTACCAAGAGACAGATGTTAAAGCAAAGTCTTCCTAAAGGCATACCTACAATGATTTTAAAACGTACTCCATTTAAAGACATAGTGACAATTGTGTTAAAGCACGGTTTACCTGAAGACAAAGCTACAACGGTGTTAAAGCAAAGTTTATCTGATGACATAACTACATGGTGCTAAAAAACAGTCTTCCTTTAAACATAGCTACAACGTTAAAGCAGTCTACACATGTATGAATTCCTCTATTTGAAGGGATTTTCCAGATAATGTCTTCCTCTGAAGTGGCTTACCCGCACTTATCCACATCCGGATCAATCGATACTATTTGTCTTCAGAAAAGTCTTCATTCTTTCAACCAGTGCCCCATTTGCCTGGATCAGTTTCCGGTATGATTCGTATATTGTCGCTGAGCGGTTGCCTTCCGATAAAGCTTTGGAACCTATGAAATGACCATCAATATATGGTTAACCTTTTATGATATGTATAAGTTAGCCTTATGTCTCATCGAATATACATATATTGAACAATATATAGAGACAGTTAGACCTTCTATTTCTACAACAATTGCAGTATAAAAGAATTATTAATTTTAGAAAATAAGACATGTGTACACACCTTGTAGTATGGCAATCCACACAGTGATTGTTAATTGACAACGCGTGTCGGTCCAACGTTGATTAATGAACAATTTGCATACTCATATATGCAAGGGGTCGGCGTATGGTTCTCAGTAGGAAGTGACAACTTGGAGATGATGACTTGCGGAGTATACAGTTTTACTTTATACATGTAGATTTATACATACAGAAAACACTATGTGCCAGGTCAGCACATGGTGGTTGTGGTTGGTGTCTAGGTGCGCTGGAGCACCCAGCCGAACCCTAGCTAGGCTAAGGGTAAGACCTTTCTTTTCTCCTCTTTTTCAATCTCTCTGGACCAAGGCTTATATAGCCAATGTCACCTGACATTTAGTAAGTAATAAAAATAAATGTAAACATTAAATCATCAGTGACATACTTGCACATCATGTTCAGGATGGCATACGGTCGATGTACACAAAAAATGGGGATTAACAAATAGGATTAGCATCTTATAAATAACAGCAATTAAATGTTTCAAGGCATATAGATGTCATGGCTCCAGGGTAATGAGCCTTTGCAATTAAATGTTCTTCAGACAATGGATGTCGTAAATCAGTCGCTATGACAGTTACAAGAAGTGTGAATCTCCCTGTCATGGTACTGCATGCAGTGTTGTATGCCGTGTATTCACACACTGCTGTCATCAAGGCCTATATAAAGGTACGATGTGACCAGGATGTATCGTGTAAAACAACAGCCGCACCTGACACAATGATGATTTTATGGAAATCGTGTTCATCATTCATGTTCTCATAAGTACATGATTGCCTTCACACCTTGTCCGCCATAAAATCTGTGAAAACGTTGTGCACAACACGATAGAGACACAAGGTGCCAAATGTATATTCTGCATATATACTCTAATAAACTGGGGGTGAACAGGAAATATATTTGTTAACAGCAAGTATCAGAACAAAGATGGTATACGAGAACTTTTATACCTGGTAAACATAACACACCCAAAACATCAGCTACTTTGCACTTTCCGTATGCAATAGAGCTATTCACGTGCGTCGGGTGTCATTTCTGATTTTGTCACTTTCAAGGAAGGTCTAATCTACCTGGACCACTATCTTAACGCATGTTCATGGTACAACATGGGTTCATAGTAACACGGGAACATGGCTACTTGGGTACCAGTTAACATAGGTTCAAGGTAATATGGATTCACTGTAACACTGGTACATGGCTACTTGGGTACCAGTTAACATAGGTTCAAGGTAATAGGTGTTCACAGTAACACGGGAACATGGCTACTTGGGTACCAGTTAACAGAGGTTCAGAGTAATATGGATTCACTGTAACAAGGGAACATGGCTACTTGGGTACCAGTTAACAGAGGTGCAGGTTAATATGGATTCACTGTAACACGGGAAAATGGCTACTTGGGTACCAGTTAACAGAGATTCAGGGTAATATGGATTCACTGTAACACGGGAACATGGCTACTTGGGTACCAGTTAACAGAGGTTCAGGGTCATATGGATTCACTGTAACACTGGAACATGGCTACTTTGGTACCAGTTAACATAGGTTCAGGGTCATATGGATTCACAGTAACACGGGAACATGGCTACTTGGGCACCAGTTAACATAGGTTCAGGGTAATATGGATTCACGGTAACATGGGAACATGGCCACTTGGGTACCAGTTAACATAGGTTCTGGGTAATATGGATTCACTGTAACACGGGAACATGGCTACTTGGGTACCAGTTAACAGAGGTTCAGGGTCATATGGATTCACTATAACACTGGAACATGGCTACTTGGGTACCAGTTAACAGAGGTTCAGGGTTATATGGATTCACGGTAACACGGGAACATGGCTACTTGGGTACTAGTTAACATAGGTTCAGGGTAATATGGATTCATGGTAACATGGGAACATGGCTACTTGGGTACCAGTTAACATAGGTTCAAGGTAATATGGATTCACGGTAACACAGGAACATGGCTACTTGGGTACCAGTTAACAGAGGTTCAGGGTAATATGTGTTCACAGTAACACGGGAACATGGTTACTTGGGTACCAGTTAACAGAGGTTCAGGGTAATATGTGTTCACAGTAACACTGGAACATGGCTACTTGGGTACCAGTTAACAGAGATTCAGGGTAATATGTGTTCACAGTAACACGGGAACATGGCTACTTGGGTACCAGTTAACAGAGGTTAAATTTAACATTAATTTTCATTGTAACATGATTCGCTAAAAGAACAAAGGCGCCGACAAATCTTTTGCCATAAATTGGACATTTTGAGTTACGTCTAATGATCGAACATGTCTTTGGTAATATCGTTCTTTCATTACTGTCAAGCAGGATGGCACATCCAGACCAATTATCGGTGAAATATTTTTTCTAAACTGGACAAATATTTTATATATATATATATATACGAATATTTGTAAATTTGAATATTCGTACGTGGGAAGACATATGACAGATGTTGGCAACCATCTCTCATGGCGCAGACTTCTCCTAAATATATTCAAACTGTGTCCGCGCCACATCAGTCACAAAATTGTTCGAGGCAGTTTTTGTGCCCTAGAAATTGTGTCGTCTCTGGACAGAGGAATGAGTGAATGAGTGAGTTGGGTTTAACGCCGCTTTTAACAGTATTCCAGTTATATCGCGGCGTGTCAGCTTAATGTGGGAGGAAAGCCCGAAGTGATGCAGGTCTCAGACGTTAACCACTTCGATGAAACCCACGAGCACGGTATGGTGCTGACAAACCTAGAAACATAATCGGGGTGAACCGGTATTTGAACCCAGAATTTTTGGCGTGCCCACGGGACGCAACTCTGCACGACGAATTAGACGACTGGGCCACCCGTACCCCGACAGAGGAATCAGCAATCCTTGTAAACAAATGTTTCATAATCATGTGTACATATGAAGACCCGGGGTATAGACTATGCTTGTCGTTAAGGGCGAATAACGGGATCGGGTGGTAGGCTCACTCACTTGGTTGATGCATGTCATCAATTCCAATTGCGTGGATCGATGCTCATGATATCAATCACTGGATTGTCTGGTCCACACTCGATTATTTACAGACCGTCGTCATATAGCTGGAATATTGCTGAGTGCGGTGTAAAACGACAAACCAACCAACCTACCAACATGTTGCTTAGCGTAAGGCATTTAGGGCAACATACATCAGTCAAACAAAACGACGGTTGTTGCTCTTGCCCTGCCCCGTTTGTCCCGCAATGACGACATATTACACCCCAAACCGTGGTTTCACGTCGGTTAGGGTATCATGTAGCGCAACCACTTCATGGCATGCAGGTGCTGCAGAAACAAAGTTGCAACATGTACGACAGAAGACACCACAACTCACAATAGCCATCGACACCAAACTTCTGCTATGTTTACATATTTGCTCGGCCCCATAATGCACTTGTGGGGCGATTGGGTAGCCCCCAATAAAGCATTAGTAGAGGTAACATTAGTACAAGATAGCATAAGTACAAGGAAACATTAGTAAAAGGTAACATATGTGAGAGGTAACATAAGTTCAAGGTACCATAAGCGTAAGATAACATAAGTACAAGGCCGACTTGGGATACGAGATAATGTGGGTTCAAGGTTACAACAGTTCAAAGTGACAAGGGTACATAGTAGCAGGGGTTGAAGGTAACATGCGTTAAGAGGTTAAGTGGTACAGGGAAAATAAAGTACAAGGCAGCATTGGTACACAGTAGCATGGGTACACGGTAACACGGCAATACTGGTATGAAAAACTGATGAAATCAACATAGAACAAATATAACAAATACTGCAATATTAGGAGAGAGTATTGTTGTTTAATAAACACTTTCCCTTTTAAGAATATGTGAATGACTTAGGAACATTTTCCCCCACGTACCTGCAAGTCACCATGTGTGCTGTTGCCTTCGCCATACTGCCAGCTGGCAGTCAGATTTTGGGCAAACGTTGGCTAAATTTCGTTGGTACAACGTTGGTAAGGAAAAGGTCATTCAATATTGGATTAACGTATTTTATATTTCTCAATACCTCCCAGGCAACCTGAAATTGTTGTTCCTATCCAGGTGAAATATGACAAAAATAAACTTTCTGCAAACTGAATTCTCTTTAAACTTTAACTATGAAACAGTAAGTCATTGAAATGCACCCTCTCTAGGCAGGATACCTCAATATTCAATATTTTTAAATTAAATGTTTAGAGACATTCTAACACACACCTTTAATGCAAATTAAAAACAACAGATATTTAACTTGAGATGACTTATTGTAGGTCATAATCTCCTTAAAAGGTACAATAGATATAATTTACCTGTTTTGGAAAACACGTAAAACGCGTAAAACATGTTCATGCAACGTAAGAACTCACGTCTGTGCCCAGACACCGCTTTGTGTCAATTCCCTCCAAACCTCCTGTCAACACGCCCTACCCATCACACTTACCACCCCTTCTGTAAGCATGGACTACCTGTCACACTCACCACCACTTTTGTCACCACTCCCTTCGTGTCACTTATAACAGCCTTTCTGGGAACACGTTTACCCCTTTCACTCCTAATTTAAACACGCACTACCTGTCACACTTACCACCCCTTACCCCTGTCACTACTTCTGTCATAGCATTCTGCCCACAACACCTACAACCCCATCCGTCAACGCGCTCTACCTATCACACTTACATGTAAGAGAGAGGTGTCAGGTGTCATGGATTCTGTCCAGGACGTATCAGGTATGGCGGAATTAGGTTGTAATTATACTGTACAGAATAACAGTAGCCGAAGGATGGTGTGTTGGACAGTTCAACAAAATATGTTATGAGATGAAGACCGGTGTATGTTAACGTGAACAAAACAAACCTATTGCAAGGTCAAACTCCATGGTAATAAACCCAGATTTCTCGGGAAGAAAGACGGGCGTTCAGTCGACACAGGGCGTTTTAATTTGTGGGTCAAGCCCTCGGTTTTACAATCGGCATACTGCTTGTGCATATTTCTTCGGTCACGCTGTGCCATTGACGCGCGAGTACCCCTTGACCTGCTTTGGAAAGGAGCGCTGGCGGAACCCGCTTGTGTTGTGGACAGTATTTGAGAAAGCAAAGTTCAAAATTAAAGGTACACGTCACATCAAGCCAAACACGCCACATAATTATTTTGAATCACACATTTTATAAAACAAAGGTTCGTGAGTGAGTGAATAGGCCACCTGAACACTTTAACCACTAGGCTACCCGACCGCACCATCACGACAAGAGAAATTAGAAATGGGCTTCACACATGTAATTTGGACCATCTACACAAATGTCTAATGCACCAACAACAATTCAGATTAAATGCAGGGTTTAGAAAAAAAAAACGGTTCTGTTTTTGTTCAGTAAACGGAATTTCAACAGCATTACTTATCCAATACTGCATGGGGTGTATCACAACTCTGTCAAACTCTCGGTTATGAAAATGGTATGATAGAAGGGAGATAACTCTGAAGCTACAACAGTACTGTACACAACGTACTCTTACCTGATCGTCGGTAGAGTGTCCGTCATGATAGTCTCACGTATATGACAATAAGCGCTGACCATCCAGGAACGAGTCCAACTGTTGGTTGCAGGATGTGGAGAACCCATCGTTTCCCCCCTCCCTTCCTCCTCCCCTCCCCTCCCTAATATAATTTCGTAAGTGCATGAAGCGCATATAAAATCCACCTGTTAAGAGTTCATGTTTCGATGTCTTCTCAAAATTTCATTCTGCTATAATGAACCTCAAGATTAATGAGATATATTTCAAGTACACCACACTGACAAAAAGTGTTGTGCACATTGATGCGAGTAAATCTAACCGGCATGACGACAGCGTATTAGAGTGGACAAAGGAAGGTTGAGTTCAATTCCCAACACACAGAGTTACTTCCCTTCAACTAAACCAGAAACAAACGCTTACCAAAATGCTGTTTAAAATAAAATCTTATATCTAAATAACACTGTCTTTAACGTGAACAAAAGCAAAACATTAATACATTGTCTGAGATGTTCGAGGGTTCTTGAACTTGAAATACAGACAGCTTCATTTCGGGGGTACCCTAAACGAAACACTTGTTTGAAACAGAGTGGTCTGTATTTGAGAAATGTCAGGTTCACAGATTTCTCAGGGGTTGTTTTTAAATTGTCTCCCTTGTGTACCGAAGAAAATCCGCCTCTGTATGCAGCCTAAAGAGCAAATAAATAAATCTTCTGTCTCGTTTTCCTTGTCAATAATCTTTACAAAGAGTGAAATTATTAATGCAGTGTCAACTACAGTGGCACATTTGCACGTTTGTTCGGAAATATATGTTAAGTGATGTTTCCAAGACACCTGATTGAGCTGAAGTGCATGCCTGTAAAAATGATTGGTCAATATCAGGGCCGTGCGCGAAATACGCATGAAGACGGAAAGCGCGTGTACAATCCCTCTCTCTCCCAGAGGGGAGGCGGTTCATGGAGTAAAAAGTTATAATTATCTTGGTCTTTCCTCCCGGTGGGTTGGATATAATGATGTCTGCCATTCTATAGGGTTGGATATAATTGAAAGCTACCCTGAAAGGACTTTGAATAACGACTTTCTAACTTGACATTCTGACAAGGGATCCCTTCAGAGAATTGCGAGGCGGGAGGTGGCAGAAAAGTAATGAACGGTTTCTGATCCTCTTTTCAGGAGGAAAGATGCACAGTTTATTGAGGAGATAGAAGAACCAGGAAAGGAGGCTGACCAGGAAGTTGATATTTACACCTCTAGTGTAGACTGGTCAGCCTTCAAAAGGTGAGATGCCACTTTCCATGGAGTAAGCAGCCTGCTGGAGTTTGAAACGGTTGACCTATTAGAGGTTTAGTTTTCAGTCAGTCAGGAGATGATCGCAGAGATGGACACACTTTAAGAGAGGAGTAGGTCGTACGTTAGTGGTACTGGTGTTCGTTTAACCATGACACATGCAAAGATCATCACACTTTTACGGACGATCTTCCTTTCTGTGGACCATGGCCCGATTCTTGTAATCCGATGATTACTGGGGCAAAATTCTGAGAACATTCTACAGACTTTTATTAATGTTTTAAATTATTTTTTTTTATGTTTGAAGGATAGTGAGTGAGTGAGTTTGGTTTAACACCGCTTTTAATAGTATTCCAGTCATATCACAGCATGTCAGCTTAATGTGGGAGGAAAGCCCGAAGTGATCAGGTCCCGCGAGCATGGGTATGGTGCTGACAAACCTAGAAACATAATCGGGGCGAACCAGGATTCGAACCCACAATCATAGGTTTCTGGCGTGCCTAAGAGACGCAACTCTGCACAGCGAATCGCGGCGCCTTAGAGGACTGGGCCACCCGTGCCCCCGTTTGAAGCATAGGTTTGTATAAGTGTATGGAAAATCCATTGTTTACAATGTCAAGGCCATGTCAAAAACATACTCGTCTTTTACAGCAAGCATGGGTTGCTAAAAGGGGTTAGATAGGGGAAGGTATTAACATATCGAGCACTTCATCTAAAGTATGAAAATATAATTTCTGACCAAATGGGAACACATTCATTCTTTAACCAAACAAAAAATATATACACTTTAGAGTTTTCGCTTTGCTTCAAGTGGTTCGGTTCTAGCTCAGCAGATACAGCTAAACAGCGGATCCAGTATGTTATCATCTTAATGGGTATACATATGGAGGGTTTTACGCCACTTTGCTAACGGGATCGAGTAGTCGGGCTCGTTTGGTTGGTGCATGTCATCGTACCCCAAACTGCGTAGGTCGATGTTCATGATGTCAATCACAGGCTTGTCTGTCTTGATTATTAACTGACCATCGTTATGTTGCTGGAATAATGTGGCGTTAAACAACAGACAATCAAAGACTTTTGTTATTGCGGATAAAAACTCCTTTTCGGTTGACAAGCCTTCTAAACGATTCTGATGTTCTATTCTTCGTTATGGCACAATGTAACCTTGTTTTTTTCAAATGTCAAATGTATCTTAGGTACACTAATGTCTCAATAAAAACAACAATAATGGAATGCTAATCTGAAGCTTTATTTGGTACAGCGGTACATGCTGTCCGTTTGTATGTGATTCGCGGAAAAGAAACACATTAAAGTTCCTTTTCACAAATAAAATGCGATGGATGATCACATACAAAATCATTCCAGAGATAGTTTCCGAAGTCCCTTCTAATCTCCAGGCAGTGTTCGGTACCTCCATTATTATCAGGCTGTCCAGGAGACCAGTGTGTGTACCCCATACGACGTTGTCCTTCCCACAGCCACCTTCCCTCTATGTTCAGATCAGTAGCACCAAGCCGGTAGAAGGGAGCTGTGAAAAGAGACAGGCTGAGGCCATTCAGTATAAACAAGGATACCACAAAATATGTTTGGCGGAGTAGTTTCACATCAAATACCCTATAAACTGACAACATTGCAACGGTAAAAAGACATTGCCACCTCATTATGTATAACCTATTGTTAGTTTTCTACAACCATTCTTTCTAACATAGTGACTTTTGAAGTGCTTTTGTACAACATATGTGTATGTCAGGATAAATATTAGTTATTTTCCAAAGACTTTACTAAAAGCAGATGATTTGAGTTCAAGAAAACAAAGGAATTTTGATAAATAGTGCCACGACTCTGAAACTCACTTGGATATGTAGTAAACAGCATGTAGTGTGAGCAAAGACATCCACATAACTGAGTTGATGTAAGAATTTATATTTAATTGTTTTCTAAATAAATAATACACTCTTATGAATTGAACAAGATATGATATCATCATAAGGAGATACTAACGTCATCTCCCTCAATCTGGCAATATCAGAGGAGACGTTTAAATAGCCATTGGGATAATTTGAAAGCATGGTTAAAAGTAAAAATTTAAAGTATTGTAGGAAACGGAAGATTAGTGTTGAATTCCAGAAGAAAGTAAAAACATGCTTAATTTCGTTTCGTTTTGTACAACCATGACAGAGTACGGAAATGAAACAGATTTTCTCAAATCAGAATCGAATGTCTTGAATCAATTCAGGTTACTCAGCTTCGTTGGTCCATTGGTTTCCGAGCAGATAATGCATTTGAGGTGCACTGAGAGCATTGTCTGAATGCAAATAATGAAGCTCAAAGTTTAAAATATCACACAAAAAGAACAAATATATGTTCACCTACTAACTACACACGTACCAAATTTAAATTAGAAAATGGATAAGAAACGGACATAAGAGTTTCATATTTCTGTATGGACCAAGTGCAAAGTGAAACCTATATGCTGAGTCCCCCTGCTAAAGACACAAATACCAACTTCCATTACACTTTGAACATGGTCTAGCAATGGCAATAAATAAGTTTTTTAATGTGTTGCCGTGGTTACTCTGAAGAAGAAGAATACCACGCACGACACACGGCGGACAAACATGCACATAGGCACACTTGACTTTCAGTCAGGTGCTTAAAAAAGTCAACTTGAATTCTGTATGGCTGCAATTGTGCCTACGAGATGTAAAGTGACAACTTTAATTACGAAAATTATTGATAATTCGAGAGGGCAAACCTGTTCCCATTACACCATATTTCAGAATAATCTGCACATCTGTTACATTATAATAAGATTTTAATTGTCAACGTTATGCAACAGGTAGTACCATCCAGTCAATTAACTGTTATCTGTAAGATCACCTGGCACTGCTAGTGGAAATGAATTACCAAACCTGGAAAACTCTAAGCATCTGAAACGTGTCCCGTGTAAACGCAACTAATTGAAGGGTGACCCATATTGTTCAATATTTTTGAAGCCATCCTGCTTTATAACAAGAAAAACCCAAAGCCCAGCCGTGTTAAACCACATGATGATGAAGACTTTAAAATGATTAATACACAGACTTCGGACAAAGATGAATAATGTATAGGAGCAGGTTAACACTGACCGAAATATAAAACTTGTGTTCATGGTCACAAAAATATAACAAACGAACACAACCAAATGCCATTATCTGTACTTGGAGCTCTATGTTAGGACAGACAAATCAACCTTATTAACACTTGCAAATGACAATAGGCACCGATGTCTCAGTACTGACATTGCAAATCCTCACTTGAGCTGTTAACGACACTCAGAGTACGACACGCAGCAGTACCAAAGAATGCTCTTGCGTATACTCAAGTCCAGACACTGAGGAGTGATAGGTGCCGTGTCCTTTGTAACAGGTTTCTCACGTCACGTCATTTAAAAGATGAATACTTTCAAGACACCGACGTTCGCAATGGTATCACCACCATGAAAAAGCAGGTTGCATCATGCTGCCGTTTGCTCTCGACATCCACACAGTCGTCCACCACTGACACGACGTCAAATGCAATATCGGTGCATTTCTATGGTGCCGACGTCTTGGCGTTTGTTGCAGACATTGCCATAAAAGGTGATGATTCCACAGTGATCTACTACTGCCAGAACACAGTGCAAGTTCTTGGGAAACCCTTTCAGTGTCTTTCAAGGTGGTAATGCTCCTCCACATCTCTGTTGGCATTTCTAATTTAACGTATCCGGGACGATCTTGGGTGCCACGTTTATCAGAAGCCATACTGAGTGAGTGAGTGAGTGAGTTGGATTTAACGCCACTTTTAACAGTGTTCCAGTTATATCGTGGTGTGTCAGCTTAATGTGGGAGGAAAGCCCGAAGTGATGCAGGTCTCAGACGTTTACCACTTCGGTGAAACCCACGAGCACGGGAATGGTGCTGACAAACCTAGAAACATAATCGGGGCAAACCGGGATTCGAACCAACAATCATAGGTTTCTGGCGTGCCAAAAGGGACACAACTCTGCACAGTGAATCGCGGCGCCTTAGACGACTGAGGCACCCGTCCCCCTAGAATCCATACTGTGCCGTATCATACAGTTCTCAGGAGTTGGACGCCATATTTCAGGGCTGTCATTTTGAACCTTTGTGAGGAGTATGTGGTAAAGGTTAGATGAGGAACAGGACTTTCAACAAGCACCCTAAATGATAGTAAGCAAACAAAGCCAAACAGCCATGGCCAAAAGGCGGATTTATTATAATAGACAGTATTCAAGTTTTCATTGTCACATGCACCACAATACACAAACACCCGTAGTTTAAGTAAATGCAATGAAAACAAAAGTAAAATTCAAGTCTAACCTTTACCACGACGGATAGCGTAACCTCTGATAAACGAATCTTCATCTGCGCTTGATATAACCACAAGGTGGCTCTCCAAGTAACGACAGTAGGCCTGAAAACAAAATTCACCATTTAATTAGTAAGAAAAGGTGTTCGCATACATGCAAAACGGGAGCATTTCATTCCCCACTGGTATTATTCATGATAAACAAATTCGCCTTTTCTGTAATCGTCTCTGACACCTTTGATGGTTTGTAATGCACTACATCACTACAGTAGAAAGTCTGATGCTTATTACTACCTTAAGTAAACATTATTTGCACCTTAGGTTCAATAAAGTTTGTGAAAGTAAGCCTGGTGTGGAACAGCCTTAAGACATAAATCACATGCCATTATAGTTATATAACCATAAAAAGCTCGACCTTCAACTTCAGCCATAAGCTGCCAAATTAAATCAAATTGGAAACATAAGTGAGGCCATTGCACCATTCTGGAAGTACAGTCTGAGTCATACTGATAACATGTTCATTGACACACACATTTGACAGGATCTTGGTAAGTGTGTAGGAAGCGTTCAAAGTATGTTATGAGTCATTGAAAAATGTTTTCTTATGACCTGAAACAGTTAAATGGGATCTGTAGAATCGGTTTGGAGCTTGATCTTGGCTAGAGGCTGGTCACATTCTAATCCACTCTGTAATGATCCATGTCAAGATCCATTACTTGAGGTGATTTCAAGTTCAGTGGGGTACACTTTCTCTTTGCCCACATGACATGTTTTCTTCAAGCATATATTTAGAGGTGATCAGATTTCACAGATTACCAAAACGACTTACAGCTGCCTCTGGAAATGAACTTTTCACGTTTGAGAACCAGTAGCAGGACCGTCTGTGAAGATGAAAGCCCAACGGACAGCCTGCTAACAGATAATATAGCAAATCACATATCCAATGCAGAACATTGTTTGAAAAGAAACTCATATGCTTTTAACTAACTTAATAACAAAGTGATACATGATTCAACATGTACGGCTCAACAATACCCCCTTTGGTTTTGAAAACATGTGTCCAATGCGGTGCAGCGTTAAAACTGAACTACAATTAAAAAAAACACGTTCTGAGCACTTCAACTTTAATGACATTTCTAAGATATTTTGCGAAATGATCAAAGGTGCCGACACTACTTTATCCTGCGGTAAAGTACATATTGTAAGTGATGTCATAATGGACCGACGTCATGACCCTGTTGCTCTTCCTCCGCCATGTTCGTCCTACGTTGACGCCATTTCAAACTCAGTAAGCATACCTTTCTCTGACGTTTCTCTTTGGCTGTTTTTAAGTCACAGCCGATTTTCGAATGTGATATAAAACGTCAACGCCAGAGGCAAACTAATGTTGAAAATTATAACCAAAGATCTCTGAAAATAAATGATGACACCAGGTGTTCACTAAAAGGATAATCTCTACTAGTAGCACCCGCCACAGTTTGCTTGAAAGGTGTATTCAACCTTTTCAAATTGCATCTATTCTAGACGTCAGATATGTCAGATATGTCATTCTTAAGCATGGTCTGCGTTAAGTAGACTGGCAGTGTAGCGTATGGCTAATACACTGAACGTGGTTGGCGTGCATGTCATGAATATCGAGGAATCTACCATGAAATTGGAATTTACTTGATTATGATTGATCAATCAGAGGCTATTAAATCACAATAACCCCCCCCCCCCCCCCCCCCCCCCCACTCTTCCCCCCCCCCTTCTGATTGAAACAGCTGGTTTGACGGCCGCATCACCCCGGAAGGTAATATTCATAGAGTAGCACTATTTTCAGTCATTGTCGGTAGGCATATTTTAATAATTATATCTACAATTACAGGTTACAAGATGCACAGATGCGGTTACTACAATATTCAAAGGATGTGTGGCAATACATTTCGTGCAGGATAACACGACAGAAATCAACAAAGGGATTGTTTTTACGTTTTGGAGACAACAGAGAGCTTAGAATTTTGGCGCTTTACTATATACGACTGTGACGTCAAATTTTTGGCGTCACAATGAGCGATATGACGTCATAATGGTCACGTGCGATGTAGAGCAAAAGCCTTGCAAATCTTGCTTTGTTTTCTGTAGGGATGCCCACCTCATGTTAGCTTACCAAGTTGCCGTGCTTATATGCTTTCAATGCCTGTCATTTGTTCGAATGAAGTATTACGGTGTAAACAAACTGCTTGAGTATACAGCACCACATTTTGTTCGGTGATTCCGTAATTCAAACATACTCAAAAAATTTAACTCAACGCATGCCGCTTCACTCAGTATATTTGCTAACACCAAAGAGTTTGCATTTAATTTAGTCACGGTAGAATGGAGATAAACATACTGTGTTTTCAATGTAGAGCTAGGTTACCTGTAGATTTAACCGCGCTAAATTAAACATTTGAAACCTCACGGTGCTAAATTCAATTTAGCCGGGTTAAATCTACAGGTAACCTAGCTCTACATTGAAAACACAGTATGTTTATCTCCTAATTAACATGGTTAAGATTAATGCTGAAATAATATGTAAGTAGAAAAGTAGTTACCTCCAGACGCCGTTGCCACAAAGCACAGAATTGCAGATAGGAGCTCGAGTCGCATGGTTGTTGAGTTCAGCTCTACACATACAGCGCTCTGTGTGTACGGGGGTTCGACAACTCGGCTTATATTTCTTACGACAGAAGTTGGAAGATCCGGGATACATGTATCTGTTACACATACGTTCCCGGACCTGACATGATGGTTGAAATATCCACTGGAGCAAGGTGTAATCAATCATATAAACAGTAATCAAGCCAGACCAACAAATCGTGATCAAGATCAAGATACGGTAGCACATGGTGTGGGTATATGACGCTGTGAGCAAAGTTCCGAGTGGGTAGATTCAACAGCACCATCACACTGTTCGTGTTGGCAAAATAATTCTGTAGGCCTGAGTAAAATCGATATATCCTCCCCAAAACCAGCTGTCACGCCGTGATACAGCTGGATAAAACCATCATAAACTCAACTCATCCACTGATGATAATACACGGGTTATTGTGATATGAATCTGGTCTCAAAACACAGCATGCACCCCCCCCCCCCCCCCCCCCCCCCCATGATTCTTGCCATCGATTAAACAATGCACGCTTCACACATTGGTTATATTCCTGCAGCATATGGCGTTATCTCCGTCATCGCTGTACTGGGGTCGCATCCACAATAAGTCCGGGTGTGTGTTACCTGTGCTTGTTGAACTGATTTTTTAAAGTACACCAGGTATTATCATAAACACGTTATTTTACCCTCTTCTAGACGTATGTGCATTACCTCGATTATTACTTTCGTTTTGGTTTACTATTACCTCTGGTCTGAGTGAAGAACTATGTTTAACGTTGTTCAACTATATTCAACAGTACCACGGTGGCGACCGTACTCATTTGATATATTTCATCGCGATCATTTTGCTGGTGCGCTACCCTCCGCACAACAAGTACATTATTCTCAATGGTCAGTCAAAGATATCAGACCAAAGTGAGTGGGTAAATGTCATATAACGCCTCAGTCAGTAATGTGCAAATAACGGCAGTCTATAAAAGCTTGGACCGGGCATGCGCAACGAACCAAAGCAGAACGTCTCCAGACCTGACAAACCCACCTTATGGCTAATGGGACGAGACGAAGTTTGGGAAACTAAGCCATATTCAACTGTCCTCCTCCATGCAGAATCCACACCCGCATGTGGGGTACACTCCCACCTATATGTTGGATAAGTCCCCATCTACTTGTAGGATACAGTCCCCACCTATATGTAGGATAAGTCCCCATCTACTTGTAGGATACAGTCCCCACCTATATGTAGGATACATTCCCCACCTATATGTAGGATACATTCCCCACCTATATGTAGGATAAGTCCCCATCTACTTGTAGGATACAGTCCCCACCTATATGTAGGATACATTCCCCACCTATATGTAGGGTACAGTCCCCATCTACTTGTAGGATACAGTCCCCACCTATATGTAGGATACAGTCCCCACCTATATGTAGGATACATTCCCCATCTACTTGTAGGGTACACTCCCCACCTATATGTAGGATACATTCCCCACCTACATGAAGGATACATTCCCCACCTATATGTAGGATACACTCCCCACCTATATGTAGGATACATTCCCCATCAACTTGTAGGATACAGTCCCCACCTATATGTAGGATACATTCCCCACCTATATGTAGGATAAGTCCCCATCTACTTGTAGGATACAGTCCCCACCTATATGTAGGATACATTCCCCACCTATATGTAGGATACATTCCCCATCTACTTGTAGGGTACACTCCCCACCTATATGTAGGATACATTCCCCACCTACATGAAGGATACATTCCCCACCTATATGTAGGATACACTCCCCACCTATATGTAGGATACATTCCCCATCTACTTGTAGGATACAGTCCCCACCTATATGTAGGATACATTCCCCACCTATATGTAGGATAAGTCCCCATCTACTTGTAGGATACAGTCCCCACCTATATGTAGGATACATTCCCCACCTATATGTAGGATACATTCCCCATCTACATGTAGGATACAGTCCCCACCTATATGTAGGATACATTCCCCACCTATATGTAGGATAAGTCCCCATCTACTTGTAGGATAAGTTCTACCTACAGGTAGGATAAGTTCAACCTACATGTAGGATAAGTCCCCATCTACTTGTAGGATAAGTCCCCATCTACTTGAAGGATAAGTCCAACCTACATGTAGGATAAGTTCAACCTTCATGTAGGATAAGTCCCCATCTACATGTAGGATAAGTCCCCATCTACATGTAGCATAAGTCCAACCTACATGTAGGATAAGTCCCCATCTACAAGTAGGATAAGTCCCCATCTACGTGTAGGATAAGTCCCCATCTACTTGAAGGATAAGTCCCCACCTACATGTAGGATAAGTTCAACCTACATGTAGGATAAGTCCAACCTACATGTAGGATAAGTCCCCATCTACATGTAGGATAAGTCCTCAACTACATGTAGGATAAGTCCCCATCTACATGTAGGATAAGTCCCCACCTACATGTAGGATAAGTTCAACCTACATGTAGGATAAGTCCAACCTACATGTAGGATAAGTCCCCATCTACATGTAGGATAAGTCCTCAACTACATGTAGGATAAGTTCAACCTACATGTAGGATAAGTTCAACCTACATGTAGGATAAGTTCAACCTACATGTAGGATAAGTTCAACCTACGTGTAGGATAAGTTCAACCTACATGTAGGATAAGTCCAACCTACATGTAGGATAAGTCACCATCTACATGTAAGATAAGTTCAACCTACATGTAGGATAAGTCCAACCTACATGTAGGATACATAGAGATTACTACGCGAGTGTCTATCAGATACCACTGATCTTACAACGAGATGTTTCAAAACCTATAAACGAGCGAGAGCGAGTTAGATACGCTTTGTAACAACGAGTTGTAAGATCAATGGTATCTGACAGGCACGAGTGCAGTATTCTGTACACCCTAAAATCGCACCTTTTTGGCATCGGATCGATGCGTTTTGTATATCCTCATGATCGCAGTGGCGCATTAATACATAACACCAGTGTTATAAGTGACGTCGTTCATGTAGTGCCTACTACTCATAAATAATGTGACCTTACACAAAAAGGTTTCCGCCATGTCAGTGGATTATCAAGGCGACGATGATAATGCAAACAAGACAAAGACAAAGAACACGCTGGATGCCGAATTAAAAGTTTACAACTCAAAGAAATCACCTAATATGTACAACAATGTTTACTTCCGTATGACACTTACCGGTGGCCGACTTTTGCAAAATGGCGTGTACACTGACAACAGTGGAGGATTTTCGTTGTGTAAATGTGTCACGTAAGTAATCAGAAAGATTCTGACAATCTGCGTACTGTTATTTGTTTACCATTTCATCCAATGTAACAAAGAGAATTAGTCAGAAATGCAGATAACTACCGTCGTCGTTGTGCGTGATTTAGCGTCAGTCAGGGCGTCACACTTGTACGGTTTCTATTGAATTTACCACATGATTGTAATGCTTATATTTGGAATTCCATTATTAGTGCAACGATACTCTTCCCAAGAATACTCTCAAACGCGTGATTGAGCCAATGCATGCAACAATTAGACGAAAGTACCTCAAAACATGCAACACCTTGTAACATCTGAATATTTTGCCTTGTTTACGTTTCAGCCAGTTTAGTTTTCCGAGCACAGTATTAGTTTCCACACCTAATTTATTTCGCATGATTTCATCTAGATAATTTGTATTGGTGACAAATTTGTCATTTGTTTCAGGAATTCAGGGATGGATGTATAGCATCTGAGTTTGAAATATTCCTGATCGAATAGGCGTCTCATAACCGGTTATTTTGTAAACACAATCCAATATGGTGGAACGTACACTTCGGCGTTCGTGAATGCGTATTTTCCAAAACATTCTAAACGATTCTAGGCTTATCAGCAACGTTTCAGAATTATTAGTGAGTTCATACCCGTGATCACTAATATGCTATTTTTCTACTTTAATTATTCGAGTAAATATCGAATGCGTGATGTAATTTGAATTTTATTTGACTACGAAGTGAGGGTTGAAGAGGAGGGACATATGTGTCGCTGTGGCATCCAGGGGGTTTACACTCTAAAAAATGATAACGTTGACATAACAGCAGATAATGTAACTGATAATAATAACAAACTCGCAGATTATTATTATTATTATCACTTATTACACGATCATGTGGTTCAACAAGGCGTCGGTGAACATTCGACTGAAGCAGCAGCAACTTATCAGTGACTTAGAATCAGAAAAGTAGTCCGTCATCATCTGACCTCAGGTCATCACCATGGAGTAGCCAATCACGGGCATGGAATTCGATCTCACACATATGTTTGATACCAGTTATCTCAAATGGGTGTCTCACCGACAGGTGTGTAAGAAAGTACCCGCCTAGTTGTAGGATACAGTCCCTACCTACTTTTCGGATACAGTCCCCACCTACAGCAGGATACAGTTCCCACCTACAGCAGGATACAGTCCCCACCTACCTGTAAGATACAGTCACCACCTAGATGTAGGATACAGTCCCTACCCACTTTAAGGATACAGTCCCCACCTACAGCAGGATACAGTCCCCTTCTAGATGTAGGATACAGTCACCATCTAGATGTAGGATACAGTCCCAACCTACATGTAGGATACAGTCCCCACCCACTTTTAGGATACAGTCCCCACCTACAGCAGGATACAGTTCCCACTTACACCAGGATACAGTCCCCTCCTACAGCAGGATACAGTCCCCTTCTGGTTGTAGGATACAGTCACCATCAAGATGTAGGATACAGTCACCATCTACATGCAGGATACAGTCACAACCTACATGTAGGATACAGTCCCCACCTACATGTAGGATACAGTCCCCACCTACTTGTAGGATACAGTCCCCACCTACTTGTAGGATAAGTCCAACCTACATGTAGGATAGAGTTCCCTTCTACGTGTCGGATACAGTCCCCACCTAGATGTAGGATTCAGTCACAATCTAGATGTAGGATACAGTCCCACCTACTTGTAGGATACAGTCCCCACCTAGATGTAGGATACAGTCACAATCTAGATGTAGGATAGAGTCCCCACCTAGATGTAGGATACAGTCACCAACTATATGTAGGATACAGTCCCCATCTAGATGAAGGATACAGTCCCCGCTTACTTGTAGGATACAGTCCCCACCTAGATGTAGGATACAGTCCCAATCTAGATGTAGGATACAGTCCCCACCTACATGTAGGATACAGTCCCCACCTACATGTAGGATACAGTCCCAACTACTTGTAGTATACAGTCCCCACCTACATGTAGGACACAGTCACAATCTAGATGTAGGATACAGTCCCCACCTAGATGTAGGATACAGTCACCAACTATATGTAGGATACAGTCCCCACCTAGATGTAGGATACAGTCCCCGCTTACTTGTAGGATACAGTCCCCACCTAGATGTAGGATACAGTCACAATCTAGATGTAGGATACAGTTCCCACCTAGATGTAGGATACAGTCAGCATCTAGATGTAGGATACAGTCCCAACGTAGATGTAGGATACAGTCCCTACCTACTTCTAGGATACAGACCCCACCTAAATGTTGGAGACAGTCCCAACCTAGATGTAGGATACAGTCCCCATCTACATGTAGGATACAATCCCCACCTTCTTTTAGGATACAGTCCCCACCTAGATGTAGGATACAGTCCCCGCCTACTTGTAGGATACAGTCCCCACCTTCTTTTAGGATACAGTCCCCACCTACAGCAGGATACAATCCCCATGTAGATGTAGGATACAGTCACCATCTAGATGTTGGATACAATCCCAATCTAGATTAAGGATGCAGTCCCCACCTACTTATAGGATACAGTCCCCACCTACTTGTAGGATACAGTCCCCACCTAGATGTAGGCTACAGTCCCCACCTACATGTAGGATACAGTCCCCACCTACTTGTAGGATACAGTCCCCATCTACATGTAGGATACAGTCCCCAACTACATGTAGGATACGGTCCCCACCTACATTTAGGATACAGTCCCCACCTAGTTGTAGGATACAGTCCAAATCTAGATGTAGGATACATTCCCCACCTAGGTGTAGGATACAGTCCGCACCTAAATGTAGGATATAGTCCCCACCTACATGTAGGATACAGTCCCAACCTACATGTAGAATACAGTCCCCACCTTCATGTAGGATACAGTCCCAACCTACATGTAGGATTCAGTCCCCATCTAGATGTAGGATACAGTCCCCACCTAGATGTAGGATACAGTCCCCATCTAGATGTAGGATACAGCCCAAACCTAGATGTAGGATACAGTCCCATCTAGATGTAGGATATAGTCCAAACATAGATGTAGGATACAGTCCCCATCTAGATGTAGGATACAAGTCCCACCAGAATGTAGGATACAATCCCGATCTAGATGTAGTATACAGTCCCCACCTTCTTGCATCCTACGACGCATCCCCAATCTTATTACTAATACTCGTTCAAACAAGTTATCCTTTTCTAATAGATCACGAAACGCAACAAGAGACATGACACAAGGGCTGGAGACATGAGAGCATGGTCTGCGTATTTATTTTGCACATACGACACAGGTCAACTCCCCGTAGTGCTTGTACGGAGGGCAAGGGAGAGAGTCACATCTACTCTCCACAATGTACAGCAGTTGCCCATACGTCTGTCGGTGGCCGCCCTCGGTGGTACCAGGGTCCTTGTCCACGCAGATGTACTCACTGGAGGCCCTGTCGTAAGCACCCCCCATCAGGTAGCCCCAGTACGTCATCTTCCACCCGGGGTAGCACTCGTTCCTCGCCGGAATCATCAGGACTTGAGCCTCAGACTTCATTTGACACACGGCACAGGGGACGTTCTGGTGTTGAACTTTCTTGAAATCAGGAAATGTGTTGGCATCATTATATTCGGCGCCGTGGATGGTTGCCTGGTTTTGGTTTGAAAGAGAGTAGGCTACGTACTGAGGCTGTTTGGGCAAACATAGGATAGTTGCTGCACCAGACTTTGCACTGTAGTAATTTCCACCTGTATATCCTGCAAATGTATCAACGATTGATCGCCAATGGAAAACTTAACACAGGCTGATAGAAAATTAGCCATATCATAAACTCCCTTTATCGTTTGGCTCAGCTTAGTCTTATTGATTAAACAGTTGACTATTTGCAGGAGTAAGTAAGGTTTTACACCATTTGTGCAATTTTCAAGCAATATGAATGATCAAAGTAGCACACATGTGCAAGTTTTAACGATGGAATACTGAAAGGGACATTTTCGTGATCACGACGTTTGTAAATGAGCATAATAGGCCAAAAGTGCGAGAATGTGTGATCGCGAGATTTGGCCAAAATCTTGCGTTCTTGTGATCTCGCATTCTTGACCTTTTTTAAACATAGCCGTTTTTATGTAAAGACCACACCACGACATTTAAACATGACGTAAAATCTCGCAATCAAGCATTCTAGACTTGTAAAATGAGGCCACAAAAACACGAAATCGCTTTCTCGCATTTTCGCGTTTTACACGTTTTCCGTGCGCATGCGTTATATCATAAGGTCAAGGCTCAACCGCACATTATTGGTCCTGTGGCCATGCTTCTTTCATGCTCTTCATTTCCAAGTAGCATTTAGCAAAACTATGACTCAGCTTGAAAATACCATTTATAATTTACTAAATAAAATGCTGTGTAATGATCACAAGTCCTCTACCGTTAAGAAAGTTTCGTGTGTACTTTAAATTAGAACCCCCAACATACTCAATGAAAGCTGACAAAGAAATTGTGTACACTAATGTTCAATGACAGTGAAAACATTCACAGAACAATTTTGACTGTTCGGCTAAAACGAGCTCGTCAGATGTTTTACACGATAACATATTCGCTTCTTTAGGCCATAAACAATAATTCATGGAATGTCATCCCCGCCCGCCTGACTACAAAACTCCTTTCTTTACATGACATAGAATTCTCAAACACGCATTATCCATGTAATGCCCAGTAATTGTTCACGGATGCCTTAAATAGTTCGATTAGAAAAAATAAAATACATCCCGCCTCCATTTAAAAATAACATCAATCAAACTCTAACTATTACTTTATTGTGGCCTTATTACCCGCGTGTTAGGCATGCTTATATTGGAAAGGTTCACCAATTTAGGGCCTGCATAGCGCTGAATAAGTGAATGAGTTTGGCTTAAAAATGCTTTGAACAGTATTTATGTTTCAGTTATATCACGGCTTGTCAGCTTGACATTGGATGAAACCAACCATCATAGGTTTCTGACACGTCCAAGGGACACAACTCTACACAGCCAATTGCGACGCCTCTGACGACTGAGCCACCCGTGCTCCCGGTTCTAGATGACTCCACAGGCAATTGGCACAGAAGCGCTTGACAACGCAAGGTCGTCAGATCGCGGCATTGAAATATCGCGATCTCGTGATCTCACGTTCTCGTTTTCTCGTGTTCTCGTGGTTTTAAAAATATTAACATATAACTGTATAAACAATTGGCAGAAAAGCACGCTATCACGAGAATGTCCATTACATTATACCATAGATAACAAAGACATAATCATGACCCCATGGTGCAGCCATTTTGCTCCAGGTTAAAGATGATATATTGTGACATTCAAATGAACATTCCCAACAATACTAAACTAACGAGCAAAACCAACTCTACCAAATTCAAATTATTAGAATTTGGATTCGAAAATATATTTCCAAAACATGCAAAAACAGTCGCAAAAATGCTATACACTAGAGTACAATTTGAAATCGTGCTTTTTGGTTATTTAATATCCGTGTAATACTTAATGCACAGCAAAATGCACGTGCTGCATGATCATAGAATACATGTGGGTATAAACCACAATATTGGACAGTAAGTGGTCCAGCAATGGACACGCCAGGTTTATCGGCAGAGCAGAGAGAAAGGGCCATTGAATTACTTCAGTTTTGAGCCAGATGGGACACCGCTGCTGGACACTTTGGGGCACTCGTGCAACAATCACCAGGGTGCTGTCACGACACCTGCAGACAGGGCACAGAGCCATGCAGACTATGGATCATCACATTTAACGTATATTCTGTTTTGCGTATTATTTGTGCGAGGAAGCACTTCAGCATCAACTGTCCTTTGACATGTTGTCAAAAGCTTCACTGCACTGAGACACACCGGGAAAACACATGTCAACATCGACGTGCAAGGCGCGAACTGTACAACGTTAGCAGAACAGGGACGAGCACGGAGACGGCTGTATAATGATTTGGGTCGGAATTTGTAAAAAGTCACGGACGGATAGCACTAATCTCACTGAGCAATGTGGCGTATAAAAATACTGAATGACGTAACGCGACGTCTAACGAATTGTGCAAGACGTCGTGTGTGGCTGTGCCGTAGGGTCAGTGGGGAAGACACGTGATATTGCACAACTGTGATCATTTCAATGACATCTATGCAGAGTAAGTTTAGTCTCAATCATATTGTGTTTACTTCAAACTGACAATACGCCCTAATGTCCTTGTTGCCTTCTTGGCTTTCTAGCCTCAGTCGTCTTTTTGTAGAGCGTCTGCCCGGAGAACGAAAGGTCATACCAAAAGACGTTAAAATATGGTACACGTTGTCACAATGCCTGGCGCTCTGCATTAAGGGGCTTGGAGTCAGTATACTGTTCAATGCGCCATGGTTTCTCAGTTGTTTAGCAATATAAAATCGGCATTAGTCAGGACTTCAACACGCAGCCACACACACGTGCATGCACGTCGCTTTATAAGTTCAATAACCTTAAACGCGACGTTAAGCCCTATTTCACCTCATAGAACCTCTAGGTCCTGTATTTTCGGAGCCATTGCATTGTTTCGCTGAACCCGTGCTGTACATTTGCTTATTGCGTAATTACAAACGCTACATTTGTAATATCCTTTTGAGCCGGTATTTGGCTTTGTGTAGTTTCTGTTGCTCGTCAGCTCAATTACAGCCTCGGTCTTCACGCGAATATCGTAAATTAGGTGCTAAGATAGTACTTCCTAATTAAGATCGAATTGCACATTATACACAAACCTGAGTAAATGAGCGATGTCGTGTTTGGACACGTCGCCCGTCCCCAGTGAACAAATGTCGCTCCGGAGGCAGCTGAAAAAAGGTGTTCACATCAAACGTTTGTTGCATTCGTTCGTTATTTGATCAAGTTAACGATGTTTAAACACAGTCTACCTAAAGGAAGAGCGACAACGATGGTGAAGCACAACCTACGAAGAGACATAGGTGGTAAAGTAAAGTCTACCTGAAGGCATACCTACAACGATATTAAAACACAGCCTACGTGAAGACATAGCGACAACGACGTTGAAGCACAACCTCCCAAGAGACATAGGTGGTAAAGTAAAGTCTACCTGAAGGCATACCTACAACGATATTAAAACACAGCCTATGTGAAGACATTGCGACAACGACGTTGAAGCACAACCTCCCAAGAGACATAGGTGGTAAAGTAAAGTCTACCTGAAGGCATACCTACAACAATATTAAAACACAGCCTACGTGAAGACATAGCTACAACGACGTTGAAGCACAACCTCCCAAGAGACATAGGTGGTAAAGTAAGGTCTACCTGAAGGCTGTCTACAACGATATTAAAACACAGCCTACGTGAAGACATTGCTACAACGACGTTGAAGCACAACCTCCCAAGAGACATAGGTGGTAAAGTAAAGTCTACCTGAAGGCTTACCTACAACGATATTAAAACACAGCCTACGTGAAGACATTGCGACAACGACGTTGAAGCACAACCTCCCAAGAGACATAGGTGGTAAAGTAAAGTCTACCTGAAGGCATACCTACAACGATATTAAAACACAGCCTACGTGAAGACATTGCGACAACGACGTTGAAGCACAACCTCCCAAGAGACATAGGTGGTAAAGTAAAGTCTACCTGAAGGCATACCTACAACGATATTAAAACACAGCCTACGTGAAGACATTGCGACAACGACGTTGAAGCACAACCTCCCAAGAGACATAGGTGGTAAAGTAAAGTCTACCTGAAGGCTGTCTACAACGATTTTAAAACGTAGTCTATTTAAAGACATAGTGATAATTGTGTTAAAGCACGGTTTACCTGAAGACAAAGCTACAACGGTATTAAAGCAAGTTTATCTGATGACATAACTACAATGGCGCTAAAGAATAGTTTTCCTTAAAACATAGCAGCAACGGGTTTTCGGTACATAAAGAAGTCTATACAATGAATTCCTCATTGACGTTTCTCTATTTGAAGGGATTTTCCAGATAATGTGTTCCTCTGAAGTGGCTTACCTGCACTACCCGATCCACATCCAGATCCATCGATACCACTTGTCTTCAGAAAAGTCTTCATTCTTTCAACCAGTGCCTCATTTTCCTGGATCAGTTTTCGGTATGATTTGTAAATTGTCGCTGAGCGGTTGCCTTCCGATGAAGCTTTGGAACCTATGAAATGACCATCAATATATGATTAACCTTTTATGACATGTATAAGTTAGCCTTATGTCTCATCGAATTTACATATATTGAACAATATATAGAGACAGTTAGACCCTCTATTTGTACAACAATTGCAGTATAAAAGGATTATTAATTTTAGAAAATAAGACGTGTACACACCTTGTAGTATGGCAATCCACACAGTGATTGTTACAAGAAGGCTGAATCTCCCTATCATGGTATTGCCTGCAGTGTTGTATGCTGTGTATTCACCCACTGCTGTCATCAAGGCCTATATGAAGGTATCATGTGACCAGGATGTATCGTGTAAAGCAACAGCCGCACCTGACACAATGATGATTTTATGGAAATCGTGTTTATCGTCCGTGTTGTGTTCTCATTAGTACATGATTGCCTTCACACCCTATCAGCCATAGCAGATATCATCAATGCAATGCATGTAGCTCCAAATGAAAAACGGTGAAAAGGTTGTGCACAACACGATACGGACACTAGCTGCCAAATGCATACTCTGGATTTATACTCTTAAAAACGGGAGGTGAACAGGAAATATATTTGTTAACAGCAAGTATTAGAACAAATATGGTATACGAGAACGTTTATATCTGGAAAACATAACACCCCCAAAACATCAGCTATTTTGCATGTTCCGTATACAGTAGAGCTATTCACGTGCGTAGGGTGTCATTTCTGATTTTGTCACTTTCAAGGAAGGTCGATTAATCTACCTGGCCACTATCTTAACGCAGGTTCAAGGTACAACCTAGGTTCACGGTAACACGGGAACATGGCTACATTGGTACCAGTTAACATAGGTTCAGGGTTATATGGATTCATGGTAACACGGGTACGTAGCTACTTGGGTACCAGTTAACATAGGTTCAGGGTTATATGTGTTCACGGTAACACGGGAACATGGCTACTTGGGTACCAGTTAACATAGGTTCAGGGTAATATGTGTTCACGGTAACACGGGAACACAGCTACTTGGGTACCAGTTAACATAGGTTCAGGGTAATATGAATTCACGGTAACACGGGAACATGGCTACTTGGGTACCAGTTAACATAGGTTCAGGGTCATACGGATTCACGGGAACATGGCTACTTGGGTACCAGTTAACATAGGTTCAGGGTCATATGGATTCACGGTAACATGGGAACATGGCTACATGGGTACCAGTTAACATATGTTCAGGGTTATATGTGTTCATGGTAACACGGGAACATGGCTACTTGGGTACCAGTTAACATAGGTTCAGGGTTATATGGATTCACGGTAACACTGGAACATGGCTACTTGGGTACCAGTTAACATATGTTCAGGGTAATATGTGTTCACGGTAACACTGGAACATGGCTACTTGGGTACCAGTTAACATATGTTCAGGGTTATATGTGTTCACGGTAACACGGGAACATGGCTACTTGGGTACCAGTTAACATAGGTTCAGGGTTATATGTGTTCACGGTAACATGGGAACATGGCTGCTTGGGTACCAGTGAACATAGGTTCAGGGTTATATGGATTCATGGTAACACGGGAACATGGCTACTTGGGTACCAGTTAACATAGGTTCAGGGTCATATGTGTTCACGGTAACACGGGAACATGGCTACTTGGGTACCAGTTAACATAGGTTCAGGGTCATATGGATTCACGGGAACTTGGCTACATGGGTACCAGTTAACATAGGTTCAGGGTTATATGTGTTCACGGTAACACTGGAACATGGCTACTTGGGTACCAGTTAACATAGGTTCAGGGTCATATGGATTCACGGGAACATGGCTACATGGGTACCAGTTAACATAGGTTCAGGGTTATATGTGTTCACGGTAACACGGGAACATGGCTACTTGGGTACCAGTTAACATAGGTTCAGGGTCATATGGATTCACGGGAACATGGCTACATGGGTACCAGTTAACATAGGTTCAGGGTCATATGAATTCACGGTAACACGGGAACACGGCTACTTGGGTACCAGTTAACATAGGTTCAGGGTCATATGGATTCACGGGAACATGGCTACTTGGGTACCAGTTAACATAGGTTCAGGGTTATATGTGTTCACGGTAACACAGGAACATGGCTACTTGGGTACCAGTTAACATAGGTTCAGGGTTATATGTGTTCACGGTAACACGGGAACATGGCTACTTGGGTACCAGTTAACATAGGTTCAGGGTTATATGGATTCACGGTAACACTGGAACACGGCTACTTGGGTACCAGTTAACATAGTTCAGGATAATATGGATTCACCATAACACGGGAACATAGCTACGTGGCTACCAGTTAACAGTGGTGAGGTACGGATGGTGAAGATGTTGTGGTGAGGGTAGGGTTGTGAAGATGTTGTGGTGAGGGTAGGGTTCTGAAGATGTGGTGGTGAGAGTAGAGTAGTGAAGATGTTGTGGTGAGAGTAGGGTGGTGAAGGTGTTGTTGAGAGGCACGGGTGGTGAAGATGTTGTGGTGAGGTAAGGGTGGTGAAGATGTTGTGGTGAGGTTAGGGTGGTGAAGATGTTGTGGTGAGAGTAGGGTGGTGAAGATGTTGTGGTGAGGGTAGGTTGGTGAAGATGTTGTGGTGAGGGTAGGGTGGTGAAGTTGTAGTGGTGAGGGTAGGGTGGTGAAGATGTAGTGGTGTGGTCAAGGTGATGAAGATGTTGCGGTAAGGGTAGGGTGGTGAGGATGTAGTGGTGAGGGTAGGGTGGTGAAGATGTAGTGGTGAGGTCAAGGTGGTGAAGATGTTGTGGTGAGAGTAGGGTGGTGAAGATGTTGTGGTGAGGTTAGGGTGGTGAAGATGTTGTGGTGAGGGTAGGGTGGTGAAGATGTTGTGGTGAGGGTAGGGTGGTGAAGATGTTGTGGTGAGGGTATGGTGATGAAGATGTTGTGGTGAGAGTAGGGTGGTGAAGATGTTGTGGTGACGGTAGGTTGGTGAAGATGTTGTGGTGCGATCAGGGTGGTGAAGATGTTGTGGTGAGGGTAGGGTGGTGAAGATGTTGTTGTGAGAGTAGGGTGGTGAAGATGTTGTGGTGTGGGTAGGGTGGTGAAGATGTTGTGGTGCGATCAGGGTGGTGAAGATGTTGTGGTGAGGGTAGGGTGGTGAAGATGTTGTGGTTAGGGTAGGTTGGTGAAGATGTTGTGGTGAGGTTAGGGTTGTGAAAATGTATTGGTGAGGGTAGGTTGGTGAAGGTGTAGTGGTGAGTTTAGGGTGATGAAGATGTTGTGGTGAGTTTGGGGTGGTGAAGATGTAGTGGTGAGGGTAGGGTGATGAAGATGCAGTGGTGAGTTTAGGGTGGTGAAGATGTTGTGGTGCGATCACGGTGGTGAAAATGTTGTGGTGAGGGTAGGTTGGTGAAGATGTTGTGGTGACGTTAGGGTTGTGAAAATGTAGTGGTGAGTTTAGGGTGATGAAGGTGTAGTGGTGAGTTTAGGGTGGTGAAGATGTTGTGGTGCGGTCAGGGTGGTGAAGATGTTGTGGTGAGGTTAGGGTGGTGAAGATGTTGTTGTGAGGGTAGGGTGGTGAAGATGTTGTGGTGAGGGTAGGGTGGTGAAGATGTTGTGGTGAGGGTAAGGTGATGAAGATGTTGTGGTGAGAGTAGGGTGGTGAAGATGTTGTGGTGACGGTAGGTTGGTGAAGATGTTGTGGTGCGATCAGGGTGGTGAAGATGTTGTGGTGAGGGTAGGGTGGTGAAGATGTTGTTGTGAGAGTAGGGTGGTGAAGATGTTGTGGTGTGGGTAGGGTGGTGAAGATGTTGTGGTGCGATCAGGGTGGTGAAGATGTTGTGGTGAGGGTAGGGTGGTGAAGATGTTGTGGTTAGGGTAGGTTGGTGAAGATGTTGTGGTGAGGTTAGGGTTGTGAAAATGTATTGGTGAGGGTAGGTTGGTGAAGGTGTAGTGGTGAGTTTAGGGTGATGAAGATGTTGTGGTGAGTTTGGGGTGGTGAAGATGTAGTGGTGAGGGTAGGGTGATGAAGATGCAGTGGTGATTTTAGGGTGGTGAAGATGTTGTGGTGCGATCACGGTGGTGAAAATGTTGTGGTGAGGGTAGGTTGGTGAAGATGTTGTGGTGACGTTAGGGTTGTGAAAATGTAGTGGTGAGTTTAGGGTGATGAAGGTGTAGTGGTGAGTTTAGGGTGGTGAAGATGTTGTGGTGCGGTCAGGGTGGTGAAGATGTTGTGGTGAGGTTAGGGTGGTGAAGATGTTGTTGTGAGGGTAGGGTGGTGAAGATGTTGTGGTGAGGTAAGGGTGGTGAAAATGTTGTGGTGAGGGTAGGGTGGTGAAGATGTAGGGTGAGGGTAGGGTGGTGAAGATGTAGTGGTGTGGTCAAGGTGATGAAGATGTTGTGGTAAGGGTAGGGTGGTGAGGATGTAGTGGTGAGGGTAGGGTGGTGAAGATGTAGTGGTGAGGTCAAGGTGGTGAAGATGTTGTGGTGAGGGTAGGGTGGTGAAGATGTTGTGGTGAGGTTAGGGTGGTGAAGATGTTGTGGTGAGGGTAGGGTGGTGAAGATGTTGTGGTGAGGGTATGGTGATGAAGATGTTGTGGTGAGAGTAGGGTGGTGAAGATGTTGTGGTGACGGTAGGGTGGTGAAGATGTTTTGGTGCGATCAGGGTGGTGAAGATGTTGTGGTGAGGGTAGGGTTGTGAAAATGTAGTGGTGAGGGTAGGGTGGTGAAGGTGTAGTGGTGAGTTTAGGGTGATGAAGATGTTGTGGTGAGTTTAGGGTGGTGAAGATGTAGTGGTGAGGGTAGGGTGGTGAAGATGTTGTGGTGAGTTTAGGGTGGTGAAGATGTTGTGGTGCGATCAGGGTGGTGAAGATGTTGTGGTGAGGGTAGGTTGGTGAAGATGTTGTGGTGAGGTTAGGGTTGTGAAAATGTAGTGGTGAGTTTAGGGTGATGAAGGTGTAGTGGTGCGTTTAGGGTGGTGAAGATGTTGTGGTGCGGTCAGGGTGGTGAAGATGTTGTGGTGAGGTTAGGGTGGTGAAGATGTTGTTGTGAGGGTAGGGTGGTGAAGATGTTGTGGTGAGGTTAGGGTGGTGAAAATGTAGTTGTGAGGGTAGGGTGGTGAAGGTGTTGTGGTGAGTTTAGGGTGATGAAGATGTTGTGGTGAGTTTAGGGTGGTGAAGATGTAGTGGTGAGGGTAGGGTGGTGAAGGTGTAGGTGTGAGTTTAGGGTGGTGAAGGTGTAGTGGTGAGTTTAGGGTGATGAAGATGTTGTGGTGAGGGTATGTCGACGAAAATGTATTGGTGAGGGTAGGTTGGTGAAGGTGTAGTGGTGAGTTTAGGGTGATGAAGATGTTGTGGTGAGTTTAGGGTG